ACTTGCACATGAATCGCTACGCTGTGGCTGTCGGTTGTGGCATGTTTTCATGGCTGGGGGGGGGGGGGGGGGGGGGGGGGATAATAACGTTACTGGCTCTCACACATTCATCATGCTACGCTACTGTACGTTGTCTTGGACTTCCACGCATATGTCATGCAACGCTACTGTACGTTCTCTTGGACTTGCACACATACGTCATGCTACGCTACTGTACTAAAGGTTCTTGGAAGAACTTGAAGCGCTGCTGTGAACAAAAGACGGCTGAAAAATTGTGGAAACGAATTAGTTGGGGGCTTTGAATAAAACCCCGAAATGGAGGTTTCGTGTAGGCGAAATGACTGTTTTAATTTTCTGATTGGAACTAAGGCGTTCCACGGCCTTTGCACTAAAATCACACGAATTCCTATTGGTACGAGCACATCGAACATGATCAACAACATCCCATGAATCAAAAAAACTCACGGCCATCTAAAGGCCGTGCTCCTAGTTTCACTCTTAATGATGCCAGAATTATTGGATGTTTGATGAAATTATATAATGGGTGTTATTATTAGTATTATTGTAGAATAGTCCCGTTAGGACTATTGGATAATACTATTGGTATCGGATACTATTGAATAGTCTTTTGATAGACATTGATAAAGCTTGTGGTCCCACTAGCATAAACTTAAGCCCATCGATAAACAAGGTCTCAATTTTTCTTCTGGCAATGATTTCATCGTGGCTACGGCTACTATATCGTTGCATTGGTTCTATCTAGTAATGCCATGATTCTATCGGTGATCATTTAATTTCACTGGTTGGGTGATATAGGTGGTATATTCATGTATAATCAATAAATGATGTTATAAATGTGAGCCCTTACCCACATGATATTGGCTACACCCCAGTCAAAACCCCAGTGGAATGTATTGGATTATATTTAAAGTTAGGAGGATGGCAAAAGTCAACTTCTTGTGGATCCATCTCTGTGACATGAAGCATTCCAACATATTCCAACTAAAAGGTCCAAAAGTCATGGAATACATCTGAGTACATCCTGCAAGTCTCCTCATGGTTCACTAGTTTTGTTATGTTTTGTTTGTTTTGGTGAATTCAGAGTCAAGGTCAGCTGGAAGGGAATGAAATGATTCGGGAACATCGCCACAATCATGAACGGGATTCAAGTGGCATATGGGTGTGTATGAAAATGGGGTATACCCACCAAATGGCCTTTTCACTCCACCAGAGAAGAGCCACCCCCCAGCTTCTCGTGAAGGGGACTCATACCCACCATGGAAAAATGGGAAGTTTGGTGATAAACCATCAAATTTAAGGGCACAAGTTTCAGACCAACTCAGAAAATGTCACCCAATTTTCATTGGAAAAGGTTCAACCATAAAACTCGACCATCACCGGCCTTCCCACTTTACCACGAAGTGTGCTGCGAGGGGGCCCGTAGTGCCCCGGACCTCAGGTATGACGTCTGTGACGGGTGGTTGGTGAAACCCCCTATTGAATGATATAGTAACAGAGTAGCAGCTAATACAACTAGTAGCCATGAGACGGGATTCCTATGGATTTTCATCATGGTTACTCTTCATTATAATATGTATATATATATATATTTATTTATTTATAATTAATTAATACATTATTTCGCAAAATCCCCCGGTTCATCAAGCTTATTTGATGATCATTCTCTCTACGAAGTATAGCCATCAAACGGTGGGCGGAAATCGCATGAAATCGCCCCATGTTGAGACAAACCCGACCTCAAATGCCTGAGACTCAAGCCTGGTCCCAAGGAATGTGATTTTCCACCTCCCCTGCCAGCAGAGGAATAGGCCGGAGATCCTCGGAACATCACCTGCAGCCAGTGTTGCCTAGTTCAGAACTGGGCAACCATGCCATAAATCTATAGATCAGCCATTTGGGGATGGTAAACCAAACCCCCATTTGTGGTGATTTTGTTTTTTTAATATATAATTTTGGCTTTACCATATTACGGATGTTGTAGTTGGTCTTTCATGATGATCATGATAACTTTCCGGAGCCCATCACCCTTTTGAGCTCCTGGCCGAATGGTCCGGAGCATAGGCGGCCGGACCTGGACCCGCCGTTCCGTTGCGATCTGCCTGGGCAGCGAGTGGTGGAAGTCTTTTTTGGGGGGAGGGCCAGGACTGATATGCCAAACATGTTCAACTAATTGTGGCTAAAATTATGCATTTAAAAAAGTATATAGGTGCTTCTTGCAGGCCTCTTGCTATTCAGAATAAATTCAGATCGATCCATTTCCATACGTGAGGTCACAGGTCGGGGTCAATGGGTCCCGCGGGCCGGTGCGCCAATCTCATACAGTCTACTGGGTGTCACATGTTGAGACCTCAGGCGACCATTCTTTTTGGCACACCATGAATGATCACCGCACCAATGCTGCAATTTGTACAGGCGGCTGGCACTGAGCACCATGACCTCCTCCTAGCCTGCTGGGCTTTTTTTCACCCTGCGGCAGCGGTGGAGCCTGATCTTCACCAGTCACAGTCGAAGCATCCGGAAGTCGTCAGCATCAAAGGCGTCAGGATAGCATCTGACATCATCTTACAAAATTGTTTTGAGGTATCACTCTAGTTGACTAAAAGTGCCGTGAAAAAGCTGGCAACGACTGTGGCTCTTTGAAGTCAGCACGTCCACGCGTCTTCTCTGAATTCCTCTGAAACATTGTGAGAAGCTTGAGCATGCAAGCCTGCCAGTGAAACGTCACTGTCGCCCGAGCGACATGTGACTATGAAAATAAACTGCATCTGTACTTGGCAGGTGCTTCGAAAAAGATTTTGAAGATCCTGCCCACAGGCTGGGACTCCCTTGAACAGCATGCACTGCTGGATGTCTGGTGGAGGATATTTGTTGTTTTGTACGCGGCATTCTGTCCGCAAAACCAGGTTTGTCTGGCTTGTCTCAAAATGGGGTAGCCCAAAAAAAATGCAAAGGGGTTGTCCTGGGGAGTGTCAGAAATTATGTGAGCATGTTGATTGTTATGATTTTCTGTCAGAAATGATGTTGATGTTCAATCTTGCTCCTGGGTTTTGATTATCTTTGTGCGGGGGGTATCTCTTCGGGGTGTTCGTTTGTTGCTGTTGTGCTCTATGTGAAGGTTTTGGTTGACTATGAATTCGAACGAATTAACAATAGGTTTGCTCGGACACTACGAAGTACTCATCTCATGCTGTCCATTCTCCGGTTCCTACGCCAGTGATCGTGAAGTCTCATCGATGAATGTTCACTCTACTGTCATGGTGGTTCATTCCAAATCATTCCAACACGTCCTGCCACCAAAAAGAGATTAATCACCATGTTTGGGAAACCCCCTACGGGTGTCTAACTTTCTACCGCATTCCTTGATCACATCTTCGTCCAAAATATTATCATACATCTTGCAGATGACGTCAAACTCTGCCAGAGGGGGGCCTAGCAACCTCTCAACCCCTCATCTTTGGGAATGGATTCCTGTGTTTCTTTCATATGGTTTGCCTGGTTTTTTCCGGCCTATATTGCCATTTCCCACATTTCTCTATCTCTCTATGTATCTCTCTCTCTCTCTCTCTCGCCCATTTCCCACATTTAAAAGCTCATTTTTGCGCTGGGCATTTTCTCTTACAGACCAAATGTCAATGGTAAGGAACAAACATTGAACACCAAATGATATCCATAACCAGCATGCAAAATCATACAAACATGTACTCCCCAGAATCTCCTTTTGCCATATGCAGATGATTGCAGATGCATATGCTCCCCAAATTACAATTTCAATCAGGGAAATCAGGGCGAAGCGATGATAAACCATTGGATTTGGGGGACTTGGACTGGGACATGTCGGATTCAGTCGATTGAAGAACTGCTATCTGCTATCGCTATCTATCGCTGATCAGCTCTCGCTTTGCCTGTAGGCGGACCTGTGAAACGGCGAGGCATCCCGGCATTTGATGCGCCTTCGGTCTACCCAGCTGAGCTGGAGCGCGGACGAGATGAGCTATGGCAGGAGACGCTGACATTAACCGATAAAGGGACCTCAAAGAGGCGTAGATAAAGTGACTTTTGGTTGCGGAAAGAAACCAGGACCGTAGAAACTGAGTGCAAACTTTGCCGTTGCCCAAAGTAGAGCCCGTTTTTTCTCTAGCTGCATTTGAAGCTCTTCCCATCTGTGTAAAGAATCGCCCAATGTGAGACCCCCACAGGGGGAAGCCTCGGATATCGAAATCCAGGCAAACAAATGAAGCTTTCCTGTCAACTCTGGCCACAGAAACTGTGGAGCTCCAGTTTGCCATGGGTGTCAAATAGCGGACATGCAGCCTATTCATGAAAGTGTTGTGACCACACAACACTGTCCAGCAGCTCGTCTTGGCATCTGTCGCGTAAGGCTATATACCCGTAAAATAATATAAAATAATATAAAATAGCAGGCTGGCCTATTGCATGGGCTGCAGGGGCAACTGGGTTGGTGCAGCCATGCCACAGGTTGACATTGGACGGTCATTAAAACGTCCAGGTCTACCTTGGCTCAAGCCAACCCATCTGAAAAGTTCAGCAAATGTGAAACCAAAGGCACTCATGACATGACCAGCTAGGCAAACTCGTGATACTTACCCACATATCATATGCATGTGTCATATAGATAAATAGATGATACGTACATACTACAGTGTATATATATATATACATATGTATGTATGTTTATATTTATTTTATTAGTATATATATATACATAATTATACATATATACATGTCCCCCCAGGTGCCCAGTTCCAAAGAATTTGTATGCCGATCCATGCGCATGACAGTGATGATTGCAATTGAGTTTCGAGTTCTCTGCCATCATGCCCATCAGCAGCCTCGACAGCGCCGATCAGTTTCCCCAGGGTTTCTGAACGGCGCTGAATGTCTTCTAAATCTGAGCTTTGTCGCCATGGCAATTCGATCCCTGATGTCAGACAACTTCTAAAAATTCCTAAAAATCAAGCATGTCTTTTGTGGTGTGATATCAGTGATATTTGAAAAAAGATCTGTCAATCGCCATTTTTCCCATTTTTTCCCTTAAACAAGACTAACATCATAACATCCCCTCCACTTTTCTGGTCGTCATGACCGGGACGTCCCTAGAAGCTCCACAGTCTGTGCATGCTGCCTGATGTGTGACCACACGTTCGCGCACCACAGACATCCACAGACCACATAGTTTTTGAATATGTTTCACATGTCTTTCCGACTCAACATCTGCCATCTACCATCATCTACCATCATCTATCTCTCTGCCTTGCAGGTGGTTTGCATAGGTCCATTTTGGATGTCTACGTCTATTTGCACTACATAAACCTACGTCAATGTGTGATATTGCTGAGATTTGCTGAATATTGCTGCGCTTTCTTCTTTCAATTCCTCAGTGCTTCCGTGCAATCTGTACGGCCAAGTCGAGGCACTTGTCAAAGCCTTTGTGGAAGCGAGTGGTCCTCAGAAATGCAGCAGTTTTCAAAGACAAAAGCCTAAGCGTCCAGTGAGCTGTAGGATGAAACTACTGATGAATCTGATGAAACCATACATCGCTCATGATGAAACCATGCATCGAATGTCTCCCTATCCCAGCATATCCCAGCAACCAATGGCAACCAATGCATTGCGAAGTGTCTGTGCCAGCGCATACTTGCGCTCCCGACCCAGAGCTTCGCGAAGTTCCCAGATCTCCTTCGGGAAAAAGCCGTTTCTCAGCAGCGGCACAACGGCAAAAACCTTTGTCGTGGGATGTCGTGGGACTCTGTGGGGAAATAGCTCTATAGAATGCTATGGGCTCTAGTCATACACAGGTCACTTTAGTCACTGTCACCAATCAAGTGTTCCAAAAAGCGACTCTACCACTCTACGGGGTCCTCCAAAGACCTGACCATACTTTGGATGGCTTCTCTGGCTTCATCGTCCTGCCAAAAAGGGGAGGAATTCGATGGAATTCACGGTGCTTCATGGTTGTTTTCACATTGTCGTTCACTACATGGCAAGTCATGGCAATGAACCGGGAATACAAATTGCTGTATCAATTCATGGCGGTTTATGACGTTTACGGCATAAGATTGCTTGCAATTAACTGAGGATAAAACCCAGGAAAAACCCATGAAAAACCAATTTTTTCGATATCTCAACATCTGAAGCTACGTACAGCTGCGTTGCAGTCCTTGACGGCGAGACCCTTGAGCCGACGTATAACCTCACCAGCTGTTGGAAGCTAGTGATACTCGTCCAACAAAGACAATGTCACATAGTTCTGTGTAGCTGGGATGAGAGATTCCTCCATTTTGGGCTGAAAAAATGCATGAAACATCATGAAACAAAGCATAACAAAGCCATAGGTTGAATATGGTTGAATACTTGTTGAACCACTGACCATCAATAACCTAGCAAACCGAGGTGTACCCAGTGCAGTTGAGTAGCATCAGATCCTGGTATCAGGGTCCAAGTTTCATGCGGAGCACCTCGCATCCTGCAAGCTGAGGAAGCTTCGGCGGGCTGAGCCATGATCCAATTGGATCCAAGTGGGTAACCCCCTGGGTGTATCTGAAGATGCAGGTTTAACCGTTTAACCCCCTGCAGGGCCATAGATGGCCTTTTTACATCTTTTTACTAGGGATCCCCGCCTTTGCGCCGCTCGGTTTTTCGCTTCTTCCTTGTCATTGACCTCGTAGATATCCTGCGAAACGCAAGAAATAGATACAGCGCTTTCGCCAAAGTCATGATCATCTGCAGTCACCTTCTGAAGGTTCCAAGTCCTGGAATTTCTGGCTAATGATGGCAATTGGCAGCGCTATGAGCAGCAAACCAGCGATCATTGCCAGCATTCCTGGCGGCAAAAAGGCATCTGCTCATGAAGCGTCTGTATATTATTGTATATCTGTACCTCTGTATGTCTGTATGTATGTAATGCGATGTATAATGTAATGTAATGTGATGTGATGTAATGTCATGTCATGTCACGTAATGTCTGTATCCATCCATCCATCCATCCATCCATCCATCCATCCATCTGATCTGTTTATCTGTTTATCTGTGTATCTGTGTCTCTGTCTCTCTGTGTGTCTGTGTGTATGTGTGTCCGTGTATGTCTGTCTGTGTGTCTGTATGTCTGTATGTCTGTCTGCCTGTATGTATGTATGTATGTTTGTATGTATTCTGTATGTCTGTCTGTCTGTCTGTATGTCTGTATGTCTGTCTGCCTGTATGTATGTATGTTTGTATGTATGTTTGTGTGCATGCATGGATGTATGCATGTATGCATGTATTTGCAGCCTATCAAATTGATCCAATGAAAAATGTCCAAAACCCTCACGAAACGCAAATTTGGCTCATACAAATGTGCGTTTCGCTGTAGCGAAAACGACATTTAAAAAAAAAAAAACGTTGTTTTTACGAGCACGGTTCCCGGTCCGCCGGGATGTATTTGTATGCATGTATGCAAGCATGCATGCTTGCATGCTTGCTTGCTTGCTTGCTTGCTTGTTTGTATGTGTGCGTTTTATGTATATGCATATATATATATATATATATATGTATGTATGTATGTCTGTCTGTCTGTCTCTGTCTGTGTCTGTGTCTGTGTATGTGTATGTGTGTATGTATGTGTATGTATATGTATATCAACAGGTTGCCAACATCCCACAGCTTGTGACACGCCTACGCATTTGCCCTGCACCGTCTTGGGGTACAGGTCTCCGTATCCTGCAGCCAGCAAACGAGCTGGCACCCTGAGATGGACAACCCTCATGATTTTGATCTATCAGCTATGTGATATAAATATGTATAATATATTTATATAATATATATATGTGTGTGTGTGTCAAGAAAATCTGGAGCCTCAAGTCTGAAAGTATTTGATAAGCAGTAACATACAGTAACACCCCTGGCCCACAAGGACCGTCATCTGCTGGCGACGTGGCACAAGCTCCATATGCGAACGGTCGGGTCCTAATGAAGTCAAGGTTACGACCGCCCACCAGCAGGCCGCAATGATGCTAGGAAAGTCATTGGGTGAATTGTCCTGGCAGATCGACCCCCGGGTGCCGGCTGTTGAGCCGCCCTGAAACAGCTCATCATCGCAAAAAGATTGTTTTATTTCGGAAACATCTCTGGATGCTAATGCATGATCCTGATAGGTACCTGCAATCTAAGCACATCTAAGAAGAGGGTACCACACCGGATCGTCATGGTTCAGTGGTTCAAGTGCAGTCTTCCCCACGATTGCCCCCCTATCCGAATTGACACTGAGGAGATCATAAAAACAAAGCCATTTCAGGGCACTCTGCTGCCCTTCCAATAGTGCCAATTTCATACATGAACCATCATGTACAATGTACTGCGGCAGAGGCATAGCTGAAAGAAGTACAGTAAATGTCGAAAACATGTCCAAAAAAATCCGGAAATATGTCTGAAAATATGTGGCGTATGATTGGCATATGGATGCCTATGACTGATCCAGTGGCTCAGTCAGACATCCAACCTCTGTGCAGCAGAGACCGTGAGCTGGAGACACTCCACGATTGAAGAGATCCGAACACTCCTGTAAGGTACAAGGCAAGTGTGACCTATCCCCGATATCTGGAAAAAAAAACGCAGGGTATTGCTGGTGTACTAGACGGGTATGGCTCAAAAATACCCAACAGTGTGATGCTGTGCGAATTGCTGGTGGCCTTCAGCAAGTCCAACTGATGAACCCAAGAGTCAGTTGGAGACCGAACAGTCCATACAAAACAAATCCAAATCGATTGAATCCACAGAAAAAATTGAAAAACGCAGTTAAACAAAGCCCAACAAAACAGAAATCAGAAACGCTAAAAACTTCCAGTCTGTTCAAGTCAGCTACAGGCTTCTTTGGGGTCTCTGGAGATCTTTTTTTTGCCTCGTCCTGAAGGCCATTTGGGCCATTGCCATGCAGACAAGTGGCACTTAAGTAAGTGGCCAGCTCAGTCGTCGTCATCTGCTCACGCAGCGGACAGCTGAGCCTGCAGAGATCTACCACGAGCCGAAGATTTGGGGAGAATGGATGAGAATGGGATGGACCATGATGGACCCCTAAGCCGATCATGGCCCTATGCTTGATCCATCTTGATCCGTGATCATCATTTTCCAATCTTTTTGCCCATGAAAATTGATCATGGTATACGAGGGGAAATCATGGATCTTGACATCCAAACACCCCAGGGCGGAGTGCTGTCACTGTCACTTTTCTTACTTTTCTGTTGAGATTCTCGGAAAGACTGGATTGGACACACCCTTCCATGATTCCACTAAGAGATGTGACGTTGGCCGTCCCACCTTTCCAGGTAATAAAGAGTGCTTGAGAACATCACCACTCCAGTACCTCAAAGCTGCGAGGGGGTAGCATTTCTTGGAAAGCAGCAAGAAATGACAGGAAGCTCTTTGAAATATGCGGAGGAAAGAAAGTTATTCATCGGTGATTGTTATGTACTGTAGAGAATGGGTGACTATTCTTAACAACTCCTGTGTTGTAGAAGAAGGGTGTGGGTTTGCTATACTTTGGGGGGACAGCCAGCCTGATGTTCCCCTTATCCAACCAAGGCTCATAGAAGGAACAGCAACACCGAGATGGCTTGCCTGGAATCCACCACTGCCTCTGCAACTGGACAATTTGCGAACTGCTGGTCTTGGTCATGGCATATTACTGCATATCGCTGCATACAGTATCACTGCATATCACTGCATATCACTGCATATCACTGCATATCAGCCATGAGAACTCCTGCCAACATGCTTGTCTCTTCATACTAACTATGGCATAATAAGATATAATAAGAATGTGTAAGTTAGCGCGAACCCTCCAAATGAAACCCGGACCAGCCTTCCACATAATTTGTAGCCCAGCAGCATACCGGCCTGCGCGCAGTATGGCAATTAATTTTGGTGAGCTGAAGGTAACGAGAAAACACAGTTTCAAATAAACATGGGATACCCCCCTCCACCGTGTGCAATAAGTAACAACATCGCCGTCATCGCCGTCATCGTCATCCTCCTCCTCATCCTCATCATCATCATCATCATCATCATCATCATCATATTAATATTCATATTCATATTCATATGCATATTTATATTCATCCTCATCGTCATCGTCGTCGTCATGATCATCCAGAGATATTTGAGGATCATTTGCCACTTCCATGGATGTGTCAGGCAAGGTAACTCTTCAACAATTCTGCGGCTTCTCCAGCACCTAGTCTGAAGACTCTGAGCACGCGTATGAGCCGGACAACCTGAGGGTCGGTGATTTCTGCCATGATGGCCATGGAGCCCTTGCTAGCATCCTCCCAGTGACTGAGTTGTGCGCTCTAAAAGCTTTCAGGGCTGCAGTGTTTGTGAACCCCGCAGAACGCAAAATGACCTCTACCTCAGCGCCATGCTGCGGTGCCATGCTCAAGGGGCTGTGATTATTTCATGACTTCTCGGCTTGTCGCGGTGCATCGCCCGAATCTCGCTCCAAGGGACATAGAATGGAAGCAAAGCCACAAGCTCAGCTATACTTCTGGGTGCAAGAACGAAGCTGACCTAATGTCCAGCTGTGAAAACGATTACAAACAACCAAAGCAGTTTGCAGCGCATTGCATGGTGTGGATTGAGTGGGGGTGAACAACTGGCCAGCCATTTGGGTCCACCATTTCAACCGCTGTCTGTTGGATTGACCTTTCGTGAAGTCCCCCTGACTAAGCTGAAAGCTAAAGGGATGCCGGCGGCACGGCACGTCAATGAAAGCGTTAGGTACTCAGCCTTGAAGGCATGTCACAAGGTCATATCATGTCACCCATGAATTTCAAATGTGTTTCCAATGGCAAGCATCACTGCTACAAGAAACTGGATGGTTCTAACATTTACTGCTATTGTCATGTGTCCTGCGAGAGTTGTCACAGCATTCGCACAAAAGAGACCGAACAAACAAGTAGCAGGCAACAAGGGGTAACAGTATCCAAACAAGAGAAGACCAACAAAGTGAGCCATGTTGGTAGTAGTTGGATGCAGCCAACTGTTACAACCACTCCACCAGCAAAATTCACACCACAAGTTGCCGCCCAAGAAACTGTAAAGACCTCAGCTGTTAAGCCTATGAACAGACATGAACAAACCAAGACTGGGCAGTCGAAAATGCAAACATGTGGAGAGCAAATTCGAAGCAAGGTGCTGCAGTACATACCACCTCCAAGCCGAGCCAAAAATCTGGACTCCTTAGTTGCAGTACATTGTGCTTGGGAGAAGATGGAACTTACCAGCACCATAGAGCGCATAGAGAATGACGACTTCTCTCTGAGAACCAGCCACTCTCTCAACCATCTTCCAGACTCTCACTCTCTGCTGACTATTGCTGACTCACGGCCGTGCGATGAATTACTCAGCGTTGGCATTTTGTGATTTCACTGTTGGATCGTTGGGGCTACAATGAAATTTGTTCTATGAAGTGCAAGCTCCGATCTGAACTGACTGAGGGCAGCCGAGCTTCATTTCGTATAGCCCCCGATCTGTTTCCAGAACAAAGCCACATATTGAAATAACCGTAAAGGTGATAATCACAATTGACCTTGCACATCTGGCCATCAATGCCATCCCAAAGCAGTGCTCCATTTTTCATGTGAAATCTCTGAGCATCAGCGCATGTGCAATGACAGCAGACTGATCGTAGACTGAGGCTTTGAAGTAGGCTGTCCGCAAATTTTGAGGCGTGGGCACGAACTGAGCTGCTGAAGAGCTGTTCGGGTCACTCAGTAGGAGAAAAATCTTCCTGAAACCAGCTTCGAGGCAAAGAAATGTCAGCTGCAAACCCAATCATACACCAGCCCCAATTTTGCGCGGATGTTTTTTAAAAACATAAATGGGTTGAAAAAACAATCTCCAACTGGTAGGTTTATATATATATATGTGTATATATATATATATATATTTGTAATTATATATATATACATATGTATATATAGGCTTGTCCTGGCTTCTGGAACTGCGGCAGCAGTTACACACGCGGGGGTGGGGGGTGGGGTGGGGTGGGGTGGGATGTTAACGTTCATGTGAACTTGCGGCAGCAGTTGATGCTACGCACACGCGGGTGGGGGGGTGGGGTGGGGTGGGATGTTAACGTTCATGTGAACTTGCGGCAGCAGTTGATGCTACGCACACGCGGGGTGGGGTGGGGGGTGGGGTGGGATGTTAACGTTCATGTGAACTTGCGGCAGGATGTTAACGTTCATGTGAACGGGACAAGTTTTACCAACCTAATTCAGGTTTGCGCGGTTCCAGAAGCGGGGACGAGGATGATGATGATGATGATGATGATGATGCTGATGATTATGATGATGATGATGATGATGATGATGTGATGCTGATGATGATGATGATGATGATGATGATGATGCTGATGCTGATGATGTGATGATGATGATGATGATGATGACGATGATGCTGATGATGATGTTGATGATGATGAGGATGATGATGATGAAAATGACCCAAATGAAACTTGTAAATTCCGGGACGAAATTTTGTCCCGGAATGGACAAGTTTTCCCAACCTAATTCAGGTGGTCCGCAGTTCCAGAAGCGGGGACGAGGCTATATATACATATGTATATATATATACATATATATATATATGTATACACAGAGAGGGAGAGAAGTTTACGGCATATCATTGGGTGAATCCCAAATAACGTTTTAACAGAACGTTCTGGAAATTTTGGCCGAGCATCTCGGCTGGAGGCCTTGTTTCCTCCACCATTCGATTCTGAGTATGTGAGACGAAGGTAAGACCTCGTGGAAAAAAAAACACGAGTTTCTGCAAATTTCTCTTGGAATCTGGACCTGACACCAATCATATTCAATACACTCGAACTCCTTGTTATCGTAACTCAGCTGGCATCCAGAGGTCTCAGCTTCAGACCAAGTGTATGAGTGTAGAATGGCCTGTGACTAGCCCGTATGGCTCTCACGGGCCATGGATAAGAACGGCACATAGAATCCCGACAGTTGAGGTGGTACAACATGCACAATGAGGCACAGAAGGTTGTGCATTCTTGCGCGAGGACGTGTTTGTGACAGTTGGAACTATCATCAATTTTCTACCTGTGTCACTCTTCTGGGGTCATCCCATGCTTTTCCCATCCTGCAGCCATATCATATCTAACATGTACCATGTATTCATGTATCTAATGTATAGGTGCAATGGATATAAACGGTACGTATCTAACATATGTGTAGTATAATATATATATATACAATATACATAAATCAATAAACAAATAAGTAAATAATCAATAAACAAACAAACAAACAAACAAATAAATAAATAAATAAATATCTCTGATACGGTCTGATGCAGCTGGTCGCCTCTCTGCATCTGCGGGTGCCATTCTGAAGGTTCTAACATTCTCCATGGCATCCAATGTCTTCGAGCCTTGGCAATCGGATGAAGTGAAAGCGAAAGTCATGGAAAAACTTTTAGATACTCTTAGATACTTTTAGCACTTTCTGCGTAGAGGTGACGCGTTCGGCTCCGATAGCGGCCAGCTTTCCTCCAGTGGGTTTGGATAAGCTTGGCAGCATCCTCCGCACTGATCTGAGGAGGGGCCAGCTCCTGCAGGGAGACCCATGCAGCCCAGAGGTCAACCCAAAGTTCAAGCCACAGGCTGTCGCTGGTCCTCACTATCATCGTCTTTCCTCAGGGTCGCTGATTATGCTGATTTCTTGTGGCTTGAGATAGGACTCTAAGGATCTCTATGCCTTGTGCCACTCCATATTCGACCTATGATTTGAGTAGGGGTCAACTTCGGGAGCCTTGAAGACCGCAAAGAGTCGATGGTAGCCGTTCCCATTGGATCTGTATGCGTTCATAATTTTTACATATTTTTACCAGGAAACAGGAAACCATGTTTTTTTCCAATCAAAAATGTAGAGACTAGGCAATCGGGATCAACCTGGGGGATAGAACCAAAATTTGGATCAATTTAGGGCATCTTTGGGGCGCTGCTGTAAATGACCCTTCATCATCCTTCATCCAATTCTTGGATGTTCAACAATTCCTTTCCCTCAAAAATAAACGGATGGCCATCACTGCTGAGCATCTCTGGCGCACGTTGAAACCGGAAAGGTTGCATGCGAAGGCCTTTTCAAGGCAGCGTTCAGCGGCAAAGGCCGGATCACCAGCGGCAACCAGGCTGGGCCAGAAATCATGTATACAAATATTGGCTTGGAGGATAGGAATATCTGTCTGTCTATCTACCTATCTACCTACCTAGACATGGAGGCATCTATACATATCTGTGTGTGTGTGCATGTGGGTGGGTAGTAGCTATTGCGTGATTATACCAGTGTACCATATTAATTATTAATAAGAATATAAATGTAGTATATCATATCATTCACCGCGTGGAGTAACAACATCATACAACATCGATAAGCACCAAGAAGAGAACTCATACTTTTGAAGCAGTTAAGACAGCAAAGTCGACGGAAACACAAGCCAAAAGCTTGGGCGTGCAACAAAAGAGGAGAGGAACACAGCTAGTTCAGGGCATATTGTGCCATTCCTGAATGTACTGCACATGGTTTACTAAGTTTACTCTCGGGTACTTCGACATAGCTGTGGAAAATCGGCAATTTAGTTCGATGCGTTACCTCTGATTTTCCATGATTTTCCATTGTTATGGCATATTATGGCACAAATTACTCAGGAGGTAATTTTATTTCGGACGATTCAGCGACCCCTGACTTCCGCGCCTCACCGGCCCTGCTGGTTGTCCAGGGCCCCCCATTGCCAGCTTTGAGACACCGCTTTGAGCCCCAGGTGCAGTAAGGTTGAAACATGTTCAAAATCAAAAAGTGTCAGAAAAATAATGTTGAAAGATGTTGAAAGCACTAACCAGCCATGGTAGACTGAAGGACTCTTGATCTTCAGACCTTTGTGAGTTCAATTGGGGGTTGTTTGTACGTAGTGGCTGGGATTCAAAGCTTAGCCGCTGTGGTGGTAGCAGCAAAGAAAGGGCCCAGGCCCCTTTGGAAGACCCAAAGCTCCAAGATGGTGCTGATTCACGCAACCTCATCCGGAGAATTTCGCCAAGGGCCATAGAAATGTTGCATCGCTAAATTCATGAGATTTCATGAGCATGTTTAGTATTTTCCCATGACTCATGCCGGGCTGGCCCTTTTAGGCCGTCTTGGCACCCGGCACTCCATCGCGATTGTTGTAGCGCCCAGGCCCTGGAAAGCACAGGAGGCTTGGCTTTCCGGCCAGTTGCCTTGGTGACCTGATGTTGCCGGAATCTATTAATCTATACATATTATCTAGCTATGATATCTGATGAAATTTTGATGATATCATTATCATATATCATCTAAATTCATATTGATATTAAATATTGGATTCTAAGTTTTCCATAGTTTTACCATGTTTGAACCAATTTGAGGGTGCTTAATTCGGACCACCCATCCAAACCTTACAGCCAGCCTGGAGGCAAAGAGCCACTCCTGCCCTCTTTGAATGGTGTCATGCTCCAGCGGGGGTCGCCTGAGTGAAAAGAACTCCAATGGTTTTGAATAGGCTCATGATTCTCACGATGATGACTCAAGAGAATGACCCAAAATGTTGAGATTGCCATGCGCTCATCTGGACTTGAACTGACTTGAGCGTTATGTCGTTGTGATTTGGGCATGTTTCGTCCAGTTTCGCCAGCGCTTCTTGCATCCAACTGGCGCTTGTAGCGGCCATTGATATCACCTTGGCAGCTCAGAAAAAACATGGGTCAAACGTCACGCGGCGCATCGCCATGTCCGCTGTCACATGCCTAGGATTCCGCAGACCCGATGAAGTCCTCGAGCTGCGGCCAAGCGACGATGAGGATCTTCGAAGGAGTAGTGCCCAACCCTTGGAAGCACAACCGATGACTCAAGTTGCCTCCTCTGGGCTCTCAGGCGGCAGTCGATAACTACCCCCAGTCCTTCCAAAAAAAAGGTAAATTCAATAAATGACTATAATAATAAATCAATAAATAAGTAAATAAATAAATAAATATATATATGTGTGTGTGTGATATATAAATGGAATGTCGGACTATTCAGCCGTTTGTTCAGGCATCCGGTTCAAAATGGTTCAAAGCTCTGAGGCGGCTGCTCAGTCCCTGATCGTGGATCGCCGCTTCGCTTGCCGGGGAATGACCATTTCGGAGCCTCAAATTACAGATTGAAGCTCTCCAAAAGAAACAACAAATTACGCTGTACTGTCTGCCGTCTTTGGACATTGGACCACCTTAAAAATGGCCCTGGCCGTACACTCCACATGATTGGAAATTAAACTTGTGCTTGAATCAGTGAAGGTATGTGGTGGTTGATGTGCCACAATTTGAACGCTTGTAGTTGGTGTGGCTTTGTTCCATGCACCCCATTACATCCAATTTTTCAACAGTTCATTATCATGTTCATCACTGAAATGGCCACAACATGGGGGCCCAACCCCCACTAGGACTACTTGTACTTAACCATAAATCACCAAAATCACCAATTCTGCGGGCTAATTGGTGCCTACACCAAGACCCAACAATTCCATGCAATCCCCATATCTCATGGGATCTCATGGGGTTGGAAATCATGGGAAATCCCTGGCCTTCTTGGTGCGCGAGGACACCGTGAGAAGTTCGTGGCCATGAGTTGTGTGAAGCTCCACACCGCGCTGGGTCTCTGTGACCCGCGCGACGTAGGGAGGTATGGGCGCCATGGCGGTTCACTGGACACTGAGCCTGGAAACTGCTGCGTTTTTTTGCAGGCTAGGAAGTGGGTGATAAGATGTGATAAGTTCGAACATGTTCCACACCATGAACTATTGATCTATATTGCACTATCCCAATCCCAATTACAAGGAGATGAGATAAGCATTTGGAAGCCTCTGCACTTTCACCTCAGGGACCTATGCAGCCTCCACCCTCCGCGCCCTTTTCTCTCATGTCTCTCACCGTGGGGGTTTCCCCATGCACATCCTGTCCGGTGGTCAGAATGACGTGCACACAAGTACCAGCACCAAGAAAGAGATATTGCAAAAAAAGACCAAGGACCATCCAAGATATGAAAAAGATCAGGAATTGCAATGAATTAACTACATATACATACATATACTAATTAATTATACTATATATGGGTAATTATACTATATATAGGTAGAAAATGATAGAACTTGATATGATTTGGCATGTGCTTTTTCGACCTGGCTCGGGCGCCATCACGGCGTCCAGCGACTGGCAAAGGCGCACACCTGACCAGGACTGTCCGGCAGTAGGAATGAGACCCACAATATGACACTAGTCGAGCCCCTGCCCACTCCCACCGGCGGCATCACCAGGTGGTTGAATATCTTGAAAAACGAAAAGCACAAACGAATTCTAAATGAAACGGCAAACGGCATAGGATTTTGAATCATCTTGCTAACTTGGACTGAAATTGAAACGTCTGGGACGTTGAACTTTGGCGTTGCCTATGGCCAGCTGAGGGCGGGCAATCGGCGACGTGCATTCGGCGCACGAGTGTGAAACGACACGCGGTGCCATCCACTGAAAGTAATAAATGGGCTGGGCATGCAAATCTTGAGAAGCAATGTCATCATTTTCATTTTTAAGCCGCTTGGCTGAACTATGGCTGAACTAAACATCTTGGCTGAGCTATGCACCACTAAAGCACCAGTTGCACCGGGAGAAATCTATATATGTCGGGGCCGGAGCTCTGGCGAAGGGAGGGGTGTGGTGATCGTGGCTGGGGTTGGCCCATGGTGGGCGTTGGTGGCCAGGCTGACACAAAAACCCTGGCGCCGAGAACTCCATAGCCCCTAAAGTGTTCTCAAGTCTGTCGCTTGAGAACGGCCAAAGCCTCACAATGCAAATCCGTTGGGATGTGAGGTCCGATTACCTGCATACGTATGCGGAGGGCGCACGGAAAAAATCTTTGTCAGTGAACATGAGTGAACATACAAATGCATGCTCATGAGACTGTTATAGTACCCTCATCCCGCTAGTCAAAGATCACCAAATCCAGCTGCAGGTGGACGGTTTTCCTGATCTTACTGCAACATACGTTGTCTTTGTTTGAAAACGGTATCAGACAAGGCAAACCTACAACTTTCACCAACTCTCCAACGCATCTTCCGATCTCACCGCACCTTGAGCAAAAGCCGTTCCCAATGGAATCCACGGCTGGGAGAAAGTCTGCGACTGCGACCTTTGCTGAGGCATGCTGAGGCTCAGATCTGATCCAAACACATCCCCTACATCACTATATAGTCATCATTATTGATTATACATATTTATACATGATTGTACATCATCACTCGCCACAGACCTCAAGATCTCAATTCGGGTTTGCATGACCTACATTCACCTACTATACTCGACTTAGATGTGCTTAAATCATCTTAAATCATCATTTTCTGGTCCCTCTATGTCCCTCTTCTGTTTCCAAGTTCCAAAGATGTCCGTTGGTCATTCACCGACGCTCACAGCGAGCTCCGTTGAAGCCAAGTGGCGGCACGGCCGTAGACAAGAGTTCAGAGCCGGGACGAGGTCCAAGGCTCTGACGCAAGCCTCGATCCAGCTGATCGCTGGTCGTTGGTTGGGTTGGTTGGGGATTTTCTTAAATGGAACATGATGATATATATATATATACATATATATATATTGATACATATATATATATATAGATATACATATATATAGATATACATATATATATATATACGTATGTATGTATATATACTGATATGATCACATAGGTCTTAAAAAAGAGGAAGTTCCTACAAAGTCTCCCTTCAGGATTTCTTGGGGATGAATGCAAGTTGTGTGATAAAGATAAGTACCCCATGATGTTAGCTGCTGATACAACCATTTTGTTCTACCTTGTTTGGCGTATCGCTCAGAAGATGAACCACCCTCAGAACCACTAAATTGCCCGCTGTTCCTACTAAACCGTCCATTTATGTGAATACAATGTTGAGCTATACCCTATACAACATCATCTAATCATATATGTAGTGAGCTGCAAAAAGTATAAAAGTAAAGATATATAGACATAGAAGAGTAATTCATAGTAATTCACCAATAAAATTCATCATTGAGTCACATGGCAACCCACTTCAATAGGTACCCGCTTCAAGTCTGTGGATTGCAAGGGAACCCAGCCAACATACAGGGCTCAAAGTAATTTTCTCACAGCTGCATCCCCAAAGCCCTGGCCCTGGTGTATGTGACCGGTTTGTGCATGGTAAATTCATGGTCTCCAGTAGGCCAGTAGGCTGCCAGGTTTTTCCCAGCTTTTGCCCAGAGAAAACCAACAAGAGCTGACAAACACCAGCAAAAATTGAAAGACAAATCCGGGAAAAAGATGAAAACAAACGGAACAAATCCTGCGGATGCTTTTGCCAGCTGTCCTTTGAACTAGCCCCTAGGGCCTAGGGATAATGCTGCGATTTTTTGTGCAGCCCCCCCGACGTTAAAAAAAAAAAGCGGTGGGTTCCTCCATTGTTCAGTCATGTTCAGCTAAATCTGGCTTCAAATACCAGACTCAGGTGAAGCAACCCGCAAACAAAGTAGCCCCTATTGAGTTTAAAAGATTTCTGTAGGGTTGTACTTTTCTATCGTCTTGTGGCTGCCATACCCCTTGCAGTCGAACTCCTTGAACTCTCCGAAGGCAGGGATCTTGCCTGGAGGTTCCCTGACGGAAGATGCTTTGGACAGTGGCGCTTCCATCAGCATGGCCAGCAGCCTCAGCCCAACAGGATATCATGGATAGTGACGGGAGAATGACAGGATACTGATGGGATCATATCACTAACCATCACTAACCAACAATGAATTTGGGGATGGTCACCAAATGTCCATAATAGAAAGTATGAAAATGTATGAAATATGATACTTTAACCATGAGATTTTGGGGTACAGTACCCCATTCCCGGACAAACCCATACGACACGAACATCTGGGCATATATCTGCATGATCTGCATGGATTTGGCTGGAAAAAATGTGCAACAATGAGGTGTCGAAATCTATCTTGCAAATCGCTAGGACCTGAGGAGGACGGTAGGAAATGATGAAAACGTCAGCTTGCAGCAGCTTCCGCAGCTTCCACTGAATGAGCTGAATGAATGTTGCCACGGCTTGCCACGGGGTCCAAAATGTCCAAAGAAAAACCATCCACCAACACCCCTTGAGAACGTTGAATGCAGATGAGCACGGGTGAGTGCGGCTTCCATCCCCTCGCAATAGTACCACCAGAAGAGTCAAGCCACTCCTGACCACGCTGGCGACCGACCTCTGGATCGAGATCCTAAGTGGGTCAGAAGAATCTGATGTCGTCTTCACCAAGGATATCCCCACCGAAAGGTGACGTCTGTGTGAGCCCCTTCCCAACTTGCAACTGGCTTAGAAGTGCCAGGCATCGATCAGGCCACCACTCTTCTCCGCGTCCTAAGTGGTGGAAAGGCAGAGGTGCCAAGCACCGATAAACTACAAACCTTTCGAGATAATCCATCCTGGCAATAGACAATGGCATAATGGATCTTCCCTTGCCAGTACCCTCAGCACAACAATGTCCTTTCGAAAAAAAGATTGTCGGGCCGGTCTGGCATGCCATGCGTTATCAACCACTATCACGTAGCTCTGGGTTTAAAAACGGATTGAGCCATTGGTGAACGATTACCGTATTGACCACCATATTTTCATGAGTTTGTATATTAAATCGTTGTGGTTGCTGTATATATTAAATCGTCATGGCTGCTGTATATACACACACATATATCTGCGTGTGTGTGTGTGCCATTTGTTTATTTTTACTTTTTATGTATCTATCTACTTACTTGTATATGTATGTATATATATATATATATTAGCTATATTATGTATTTATATACATATATATATAATTATAATATATGCTATGACATGCTATTACCATGCGCTATACCATGGTGACTGTCTGAGGCCAAGGCCTGGAATCCGAACGGGTCGCCTGGCGCAAACGCGGGGAAATCAACTGTCATAGGGAAATGATGAATGGCAACTTACAAAATGATGAGAAACTGAGAAACCATTGAGAAACCAATGGAATTTTTCATGGATTTGGATTTGGGGAGGTTCCCCCTAAATTTTCAGAACCCACAGACTGAAGCATGTTATAGCATGTTCATCCCTGGGATGTTGTGCCCTACCCCATGTTGAGTTGAGCCGTGTGGGCCTGGAATGTACTCACCAGCCAAGTTGGAGCGTACAGTGCCTGGGATAATAAGGTGACCTTTTTGTTGGCTTTCCTTGGCATTCCCTGGGAAAAACCAGTGTTTGGCAGTACAACCTAACCGGAAGAACATGGAAAATCCTCATCATTGATTGGATGATCTACAGCCACTTAAAATATCCCATTTCCAGGTACTGAAGATTATCGGGCTTTGATCCACTGACTTGTACCTGGACCACGGAACGGTCGGAAACAGAAGGCAAATCATGGACGCTAATTGTACCTACAATTGTTTGTTCGCAGCAGGCATCCAAATTCAAACGGCAAGCTAGCAGTGTCACAGAGCGTATAGTCAATAAAGTTTTCAACATCTTGAGACCATCTGGCAAGGCAAGAATCATCCTTTCAGCCTCTTTCTCGCGCTCTCGCTCTCCCTGTCTCTTTCTCTAAGCTCGGCTAGCCTGTCCCGCGTACATCATCTGGTCATGCTTGCCAAGAATCTGTTCCAGTCTTCATCGCCACAGCTACTACCAGCACTGCTCTTCTGCGTTGTCTGGGCGTTGGGTTTGCAAATGGGAAACGCTATGGGTTTGGTACTATGGGTTTGGTATGGTTTAGTCATCGATACATATCGACACCAAAATGCTGCAAAAGTCCTGCGAATGTGCATAAAATAATCATTTGCACTATGTTGTCGTGCCGCGTCGGCACTCAGGAGACACTAGGGGACTTCCTGAGAATCTCAAATAATATATATATATAATACATATTATATAATATTATATATATATATTATGTATATATGTGTGTGTGTGTATGTATAAACACATACATCACAGGTATATTGCGTATAGGTGAAACTGTGTCAATAGATATGTATAGCTCTGTGTGTGTCTGCGTGTCTGTGCATCCACATCTTCATGGTTTCTTTGTGTATCTTTCTGCCAAAATAGCATTTCTCACTGCCAGGTCAAAGTGGCTGTATAGTCTGTGGTCCCATCGTCATCATCACGATCTTTGTAGCATCCCTCAGGGCGCTGCCACTCTCAGTCATGGATTGGCTGTAGGGAACCATCGGGAACCATAGGGAACCGTTGGGAACCATGGGTTTTCCATGGTTTTCCCAGGAAACACAGGGGAGTTTGCATGGTATGTTCCCTTCATCCAATGAAAATGGAAATTGCCACCGCGCGGCAGGCCATTGTTGGAGGCTAGCAGGGCTCGGGATTGAAGTTTTCCAGGGCTCATACATTGGCCTTGGCACATCCGTCAGCGGCAGCACATCCATGGGCTGGACTGGAAACACATGATATGTGAAGGACTTCCGTTGTTCAAAAGACGCACTGTTCAATGGAAAGCCAGTTGGCGAGCAAACCAGGAGTAAGACTCTAGTGGTTTTTCCACACTACTGCCGTTACGGCAGTGTTTGGCCATTGCAAATGTTGAAAAGTGACATGTCCTGAAGACCAAATGCGCACGAGTTTCCTTGAGTTCTCCATCGAATTTTGGAACATGCCAGTTCCAAATGCAGCGTTGCCTTGATGATACCTCAGTGAACAGACTGCGCGGCTGAATGAACCAAATTCACAAACCTAGAATATACAATAACCCATCATGGGGTATCGTTGCGATTTCAGTTCACTTATATCTATTAGATATATATATAATATTATCAATATCTCATCCAAATTACACCAAAGACATGTCCACAAAATTGGCTTTCCCTAGCCATTCTTGTTGGGTCATTCTGTCCCGTCTAACTCTTCCAAGAGCTGTTTGACGTAGTTGTCGGGATTCAACGGATGGACAACTACAGCTGTAAGTCTAAAATCTTCACCAGAAACTAAAGATGTTACATGATGTTACATGATGTTACATTCTTTTTAATTACCCGGGTTGACCTTCAAACCTAGGGGGTTCAACGGGTTCAACCGCTATTTGTGCCCCTTCCAAACACTGGGAGGATCCATGGAATCCACGGTGCGGCGCGTAGATCCCCGGCTGCTGCGCTGCCATGCCCTGGCCTGGCAATGTAACGTGCATCAATGAATCATGGGATGATTGGAGATAAGGCTGTACTACTATTGGATAACAATAATAGTAAAAGCATGTAAAAGCAATGAATGGATGTATCATTGCTTCTACTATTGCATTGTCAGTATCACATACTATCACATATTATCACATATTATCACACATTATCACATGTTATCGCATATTATCGCTATTGCTGCAATACATAGGCATAGCAAAAACCAACGCAGCTTTGCACCTTCTTCGCTCCAAGCATTCTGGGACGAGCTCCGCATTGCGGCGAGATCCTCATGCTGACATAGCTTGGGGAAGTGATAGAAATTGGTACAAATTCCAACCAGAAAATGGTTGGGTAGCAACTGGTGCGAAGTGTTCCTCAACCTTTACAGCCTGGTCCGGTGAGGAAACTTGGGCCTGGCTGCTATGCTGTTGCCATGTCTTAGGAGCAAATCGTCCCAGTTTGGGGGTCGCGGTTTTGACCGCAAAACCGCTTTCCTGCTGCTGAGAGATGTGTATCAATCTGACAAACAAAGAGAGGTGTCGTGCGTCCAGTGTCACTTTCAAGGCCAAGCAGCAGCGTCACCAAGTGCCAAATCAGTCGTTCTGCAGCCAAGAGTCGATAGTTTCCAGTTACCAGTGCACAAGACTTTCTATCCAAGGGTATTTGCTCTTGAGCCAGAATCGCAGTTTGAAAGAATATGGTATCTCCACCAAGGTGGCAAGTCATTTGCCATCATGTGCCCGTTTTTGCTGAAGGATTCAGATGGATTCAGCAGATCCAGTAAACCCCTGAAAAGCCCAAGATAGCCCAAGGACCTTTTTCTTGAGCTCAGCATCATCGGGGCAATGGAAGACTAACGCTTTGTCCCGATGGAGTGGCTACTGTAGGAGTTTGTGACAATCTGGGTATGCGCTTGTGTGGAAGTTTGACATTGAGTTGGGTCTGATCTCAGGGTGGTGAGGCTTCGAATTTGCTAAGAGGCTGTCTTCCGCTCATGCCTCATTGGTTATTGCTTCTCTCTACGATGTGCCCAGTCAGTTCCCGGATCGTTGGATAGTCAAACCTGAGCTACACACTGCTACAGTGCTACAGAAATCTCTTGCACAGGGGTGGTGCAAACAAATCATCTGTGGCTGATGCAGTTGGCCAGCTTTCTGTGTTGCACTCTTGGCTATCCACGTTAGAGTCGCTGACAATCCCAACCTGCCCAGCCAGGAAGTGTCCAGGGGCGACGCCCAGGGGACACTCGTTCATGGAGGTTCAAGGACCCACCCTTCATAACGGATGTCTCAGTTCATCATCTATTTCTATACACATATGGCTGTGGGTCAAAAGCCTCGCACCCCTGATCCAAATAGCTGGATTTAAGATGATTTAAGGTTTTTCTTCGCCCGTATATAGATACATTAGATCATCACAAATCATCCATAGATCATTGCTTAGATCATCCATAGATCAAAGATGTCAAGGCTCGCACCCAGAGAAGGCACTGTTGACTTGGCTTCGAAATTCGATGCTCATGAGACTATCCTTGGCCGAGCCAGCTCTGGGATCTCTGCTTCCCAAACACACCTGCGTGGCCTGGAAAATGTGATTATGACATAGGATGACCCCCAGTTTGGGTGCGAAAATGGCTTGGAGTTTCAGAGAGGTGAAGCCTACTCTTAAGTGCTCTGCAGGTTTGATGTCCAAACCAAATTCAGATCTCACTAAGATCCCAATACGTCAATACATGCCGGATTGTGCAGCGCCATCATGCACCACTTCTCTGAGTCCAGGTCCACTCCAGCATCCATCAAGGGTGTGTCTGATTCCTGGGCATGCAGTGGGGCTGACTGCATGGGTAGGCATGGCATAGGTTTCTATGCTAGCCATTGCCAAACAGTCCGCTTAACCTTCACCCAAATTGCAAAGCACTTTTTTGTGACACTTTTTGTGTGGATCAGTCCCATTAGTGTGGATCAGTCCCATCACAGGCCCAGTCCCAAAAGCTCCCTGGATCCCGGCATGGCCCTGAGGCCCAGTCCATTTCGGAGCCCATCATTTCGCGCAGCATGTTGTGCAACATATCACTGACGATCGCAGGCTCCAAACCTGCCAAACAAAGGTTTAAGGGCATCCCGAAAGATTGCGGCAGTGGTGTCAAACTTATGCAACTTGGGCTGAGGGAAATGTGGCAGTGGTGTCAAACTTCCTGGTTTTGCATGGGTTGCTTTGCTCTATTGTTGTTGGCATCCCGGAATCCTGCTTTCTACTTGGATGCCTGGATGATGTGACACAAGTGGAGCACTAGAAAATGGTTTGCAGGTCATTTTTGCAGGTCATTTTGATAAAGTGCGAGCATCTTTCGCCCTGGCTTGCCTTTGGGCTTTTCTTCCAGCACCTCCGATGCTGCCCTGCACAGTGAGGTTGGTTAATATTTCAATCCCATGAATTTGGTCATGAAGGTCATAATGCCAGTACCATCCAGTACCTTGGTGGAAAGCTTCAAATGCTACTAGTAACTAGTACACACAAACTCTTTCACTGTGTTAGTTGTCGAGTGGTCCCACTTCCTCTGGACACCGGATATCCTTTCCCTCCGTGTGTTGAGCTCTCCACTCCACCACCGGCGTCTCCTGCGATGCAACGTGGTGCAGGGCAGCACACCCACTGCTGTGCCCCCGTCCTCTTCCACTTCCTCTGCCAGTGGCTGGAAGGTCTGCGGTACTGCTGGGGCGGCGGCACCTTGACCTTAAATGGTCATGACAATCTTTGCCTTTTTTGATGAGTGCCTGGATTTTTGGGGTAAATTGGGTGATTGAAGCAAATAGTGTACCCCACAACAGTCTTCGCCGGTTCTAGATCTGAAGCGACCACTCGCCAAGTGCCATCGAAGCAATGACGGCTGGGTGCCCCAGCCCTGGAGCACTTTCTCCAAGATTTCTTGCGCCTCAGTGGCACAGCTATGTGTTCGTCATTCCAGTGCAATCCACAGGGCAGGAGGCTCACTGACAACATCTTCTGCCCAAAACTTAGGAGCAAGACAAATGTCTTTCAAGAGAATGAAAATAAAGGCGCAATTGGTTCCCGTTCTCAATCATATCCTTCGGTAGAACTGGCAATGGGAAATCCCCATCAGGAAAGTCATCTTTGCATATCTTTGCAAATGTAGGATCTTCCATGATGTTCCAGACAGCCAAATTAGACTACCATCTGATCATCACAAACGCTGGTTTGGGTGGGAAAAAACTGTTCACCAAAAAAAAAAGGATGGCTCACGCTCACTGGCAAAAATGACCCTGCACAAGATTAAGTTGTGCGAAAGTACCCATCCGAAATGAAGCACACCGTTTGGTCACTACATCCCATTTATATCCAACAATATACCCATCATGTTGCCATTAATAGTTGGTATATCCATGGTCAATCTTTGGTAGTCATCAAAAAAGTACAATCTTTTGTTGCTTGTGGTATTATTTATTATCAATTTTCCGTTTCTGGCAAAGAAAAACTAAAGAATTAAACATGATTAATTGGTATATGTTTTTTACTATCCATCCATCATATCCAACATGAATTGGGGATCCCATATATCCCATTACCAAGAACATCTTTAATCCAACATGATATGAAAATTACCCTCTGGTAAATTCACTTGATGACCCTGAAAAAATCACCATTTAAGTTAGTTGAAACTCATCTTCCAACCCCTATGACTGCCAGGGTCTATGTTTATTTACCAGAGGGTACTATCCATCCATATCCATCCAGTTGGGAATCCCATGGATCCTGAGTGTCCTGCCAGGGCCTCCAGCGGCTTGTCATCCATGGCCTGTGTAACGCATAACGCATCGCGAAACATGTCAATACATAACGAATAAGGTATATGTTGTGTCAAATATATGTCAAATATAATTATGTGTCAAAGATGTTGCGCATTTCTATGTATACTATATCTCTCTCTCTCTCTCTCTGCCTTTATCTATGTATGACTCGTTTTGGCGACTTCAACTGACATACTATGACTTGTGGGAACCCCCCATCCCCCTACCGTCCTTTGCCATGCTCACAGCTTGTTTCGCTGCAACCAGAGCTTGGTCGCTCTTGCCACTCACCTCGGTCCAGCCCCATCGCAGATCCAAATGGGAATTCTATGGGGATGATCATGGAGATTTATCTGGATGATAGTGGAATTGTAATGGATTTATAATGGGAAACCAACCAGACTTTGGTTTTGAATGGACTGGTTTAAAGGAAAATCTCAACCGGAAACTATGGGTTTATACCTCCAAATGCAGAGCTTTCCTGTAGTTTCTCGTATCATCCAGCTCTGGGACATGGATGTCCAAGCACAGGAATCCAAAAATCTACAGTAACGGTTTACTCATCATTTTCTGATTGAAATCCCAATTTTGGGGCAAACGTTTTTGGCAGGAACCTCTATGGCGGGTATGGCCTGGTATTGGACATTCTTCGTTTGTGATATCGTGATATCGTCCATCATATCCATTGTATGCCCCCAAAAAATCGTGCAAAAATCTTGGGGTTGAGGACACCGCGTGGCGTGCTTTTTTACAGCCGCACAAACCTTTGGGGTCAGGAAAACACACTGAGCGCTCCGGCAAGTAGGGCCTGGGCCTTCATGTTTACCTGGCCCAAAGACACAACTTCAGAACCTCTGAGAGGAGAAGGATTTCAAAATGTCAAAACAAAACCCAAAAATCTCGTCAGACCATCTGACAGAACATCCTAGGCCATCTTTTTACCAACCAATTACCAACATATTTAATATATTTACATAGTTGCAGTGTTCTTGGTGGCACAGGTGCTCCACTGGCTCCATGAGTTTCGCAAAGCAGACAGCTGCACAAAGGTGCACTCCCCAAGCTCATAGCCTGCACACTGCACGGCTTTTGATCATTTGTTCCAGTCCATTGGTAAGAAAAGCATAGCAAAGTACACAACAACCTGCGCAAACTCTGTCAGACTGTGTAACTATGGATGCAGTTGAGAAGCGCAGTCTTCTGAGTTACAACCATCATCTTGCTGAGGCATTGATGAACAGAAGTGATGTAACATGACGGTTCCATATCCCGTTATGTCCCCATTATATAATCTCACTTCTATCACCCATCATCTTGCAACAGGAAAATCAAAGGCTCTGGCCGACATCTTGATAGATCTTGATTCCCTCGTCTGCACCATCAAGTGCCTGGGATTCCAGCGCCGAGAGCATCAGAATATGCCATGATTTGGCCGCACTGCCACTGCCACTGGTGTATTATTCATGAAAACAGTGGTAGCTTGGTGAGATTTGGTGATTATTGGTATCGAACTATTGAACATGATTAACCATGCACTGGGGATATGTACGCAATCAACACGGAAAATCTGTACGCAATTTAGCATGCAGAGGTGCGCCTCTTGGTACCTGCCGCTCACAAGGTTGATCTCGGATAAAGCATAGAAGCAGTCAGCAATGGTCTGGCCATGTGCGTCAAAAAAAGGGCCCCTTGACTCGGATTGTCCACTACATCAAGTGTTCCAAAGTAGACGACTTACTCAAATAAAATGTATGACATTTTATCTATATATATATATTAAAAATAAAAATAAAAATAAATAACCATAAATAACCATTCCGGTATGGTCATGCCCGTTCTCTGACCCTTACTGCACTCTATCTTTTGTGCTGCACTTTGTCTTTTGCTCTTTCCCAACCGCTGCGACCATTGCGACCCTTCGCAGAGCCTGTTTGTGGCCCAGTTTGTCAGCAATCTTCTTTGCCTTGAAATTCAATATCTCATGCTGAGGCACATCATGGCTGAGGGTAAAATGCACAGTGTCAGCAGCTTTTCTGAGCGCGACGCTGCCAGCCCAGCTTTCTCAGCCTGCCAGTTTGAGCCCAGCCCATTTTTTCCGAGTGCATCCAAGTTAACCAGGTCACCAGCGCTGCTAGTGTGCAGTAGGCTAATGCTCGCCAATGAAATGACAGTACTCTTCGATCTCGTGGCAAAATAAGCATAGACAAGGATAAGTCGGATAAGTGAGCCATGTCTCTCCTTCAAACTTTTCAAAGGCTATGTTGGTGCAACCACCACATGCCTTCGAAAGCTGCTCTTCTAGCTCCCGACTTCCTCGCATCCTGACACTTATCAACCAAAACAGCGGCCAAAGGAAATGTAAATGCTAGCTTGGTTCGGTCAACATCAGGATTCCGACAAATACTTAGTTTCTGACAAATGAATACAAATAAAGCATCTAAGAAAAATGCGTATTTCAATCGTGGAGGAGTGTCGACAGAAACTGTTTCACTGATTCACCCACTACAGCATGTAAATCATGACTAAAGACTTTATATTATAAACATATAAAACATTATAAAACAGCAGTGACATCCAGTCTGTGTAACAGAAATGTCGCCGTCCATGTTACTTCTGGTACTGTTTTTGCCAGTCCAGGTGATGAAAAAAGTCTGGAATTTGCTTGATATTTCAGAGGAAAGCCATGGAAGCCAATATCTTCCGCTAGCAAACCTGCAGATCCTAGATGATCCTAGTATGCTAGTATGGTTTCCGATGAATCTTCACCTCAACCAACCCCGTGAAGAAGGCGATCTCCCTGTCCAGCCTACCACTTTCCACCTGGGATTCAATGCCAGTGACTTTTATGCGTCCTCTTTATCGATGTGACTGCATGATACTGCATGTGGCTCCCTATTGGCAAAACCCCAGCAATGCCGGAAATTGATGTGCCACATGGTACAAGATTATCGCAAATCCGTGAAATCTCCTGGGAAGCCGAGCCAATTGTGCGATCAAAGATAGATGGGCTTCCACGGTAAAGAGCAAAGTTCCCGCCTTCAAAGAAGCTCATATCAGCCCCAGCAAACGCCGGAAAAGAGTTCCGGTTCCGGGATTGTTTTCGCGGAATCATGGGACCATAATATTACGACAATTCTACGACATACCCCCCAATGAATTGCTGATACACTGTATGCTGAAAGAGAAATGCAAGATATGAAGATATGAAAGTTTAACATCCCTTTGGCAGCAGTATCAACACCACTATCGCACTTTCGAAGAAATGGTCCACATGTGTCCACAATGTTCGCAGGCCTCCGCTGGCTTATCTCTAGCTCGCTTGCAAAGAGAATGGGCTTCGTAGGCAAGTCGAACTGCCTCTTAGGACTCTCGGGATTGCGAGACGCCGCGGTGAATTCTCAGGTCTGAGAATCCATGCCATGGAAAGAAACCTACCGACTAGTCCGACAAGCATCCCGGGTCCTACAAGCCATGAAAAAAAACCACCAGAAAAGGAAACACATGGAGATATGGAAACACTATGAAACACTATGGATCATGAAGCTGAAATCCCAGGTCAAGAAATATCAAAAATACAAATCATCAGCACCAGTTGCACCTCTGCAGGTTCATTCTTGGCGATGTGAACCTTCGCCATACTGTGCAAGACTTGTGCCAGCCTCGGAACTTCTTGATGGGTCTTCGATGTCTGGGTCAAGCGGCCCTGTGCAGCTGAGATCCCAGCAATCGGCGTTCCCCCATTTGTTCAAAAATGTCCTGTGCTTCGCGCAACCATTTCTCAGCCTGGCAAATCCCGAGCGGGTTGCCGTGCACAACATGGCCATGTCTATGCCCACCTCATCAAGTTCGCCCACCGACTTGTACACATTTGCCGCAAGCAGCAAGGCCTCGGTGAATTTTGCCATTGAGTTGCAGGTCTTGTTTTTTTACATCATGCAACTCAGTGAGGAGCTGTAGCTTCGCCGCGTCGATCCTGCGACAAATTCTCATGTTTTTAACACCGGCCTTTTCAAAGGCACCTTGCAGTTGGCAACGGGCAGAGTAAGAAATCGACTCAAACATCCCCAGACTAGGCTTCTAATGGTTGTGGACTCCAAAATTGCCCAGTCCTTGATTTCCCTAAAGATGGCCACAGCCTGCTCAGCTGTCGCCAAGGCCTTTCAGCAGGACACTGCTGCTCGTTACCACAGTTCCCAACATGAATTTTGGATGATTTTAGGGGTACCTCTTGAGCCCGCCTCTTGGAACTCTTGCAGTTGCATCTGGACTTGCCTTGGTGAGAGGTTCCCTGTGAATTCGTCCCTGAAAAATCCGGGAATGGGTTGGGTTATGATGGCTATTTTGTCTGCCGTACCTCCCATTGTGATCCATTTTGGGAACCACCTCAAATGCAGTTCGTGAAAATATTGAAATTCCCCGAGTGCCCTGGTCCAAACTGCCCCCTGTGACGGCCTGCTTGATTTTGGCGGGCTGCACACCCAAAGGAGCAAACAGGCTGAAGACATCTGAAGACTAACACTTCTGGACGAACTCTGCCTCTTGTCTCACTATTTACAATGCCAGCGAAGAGCTGGGATTCTTCTGAAAGTGCGATCCAGGAGTGCCAACCTTTAGGATGCTTAGCTACACATTTTTTACTTTCTCTGACACCAGTAGCTTGCTGATTGAAACAACTAAGTGTGAATAGGTGCACACTTTCAGATTTTCTTCTAAGACTTTAAAAGCAGATCCAGCTGCGCGATGCTGGGGTGTCGTTCAGCGTGGGCCAGGCTTTGCCTGGCCATGGCGACCGCGTATCCACTCTATATGCAGGACTGTTACATGTTCCAATATTCTGAACATGGATTCCTAAGTAATTTGAATATCATTCCAACACAGCTAAATGACGAGTTGATCAGTATGAGTTTTCCCCAATACGCCACTAACGAGTAACATGAAAAAACAACATCAAGTTGAAACTACACGAAATAACGTGCAGTTTGAGCACGTGACACACACATTTACCCCAAGGTTCCCCCAAAAAAACATATGCGATCCTTAGCCAAAGCCTTGCCTCCAAGTCGATCCAGATATTTTAAAGGCTATTTGTGCTGACACTGCGTTGGCGGCGGCGCCGCTTGCGGCGCCTAGAGCTCCTACGCTGTGAAGCTGCTCTAGCAGCAAAATCTCGTGAATGTTCACTCTTTTTGCAGGATAAATTCCAGGAATGCAGGATTGTAGCACAAGCCCGGCTAAATCATGGAAGTCTGTGGGGACATGTGAGAATCCTATGGGCATCGTTTGTTCACCTCCCACCAAAAAATGCGCCAAATCAGCAACTCCTTCTGCAGCTCCTAGATTTGCTTCGTATGCCCTGGCTAATCAGCATCAGCCGCTGAGGTTGAAAATCCCTCCAGAGGGATTTTTGGCGGAATTTTCTGAGGATAGAAGGAGATTTAAATACCCCCCCTAACTAAGTGTGGACTGTGTGTGTGTGCGTGTGTGAACAACAAGTTGACAAGTGCTTCTGACACTCTTTCCGCTGCCAAGTTGGCCTTTCCCTTCGAACTTTTCTCTTCATCAGAGTCTTTCTCATCCCCTTGGCAGTCAAGCCCAGGGTCTAGGCACCAATTTTGATACCCCATAAACACAATGTCGATTTGCGTTCTGGCATGCAGGGCCCCATCTTTCTTGAGAGCAACATCAAGAGAATCACAGTCCCTGCGCGTCCCTGCCTGTGTTTTTTCCTTTGTCGCTATCATCACTCTCAGCCTCTGCTTCTTTCTCACTCTCAGCCTCTGCTTCCTTGTCCGAATCTTCCATGATTTCCGTGGCCGTGTCACCATCAGTCGTCGGCACCACAAAGCCTTTGGATTTGCTCAGTTCCCGCAGACTTTCCTGAGCTGCCCCAAAGGGGTAGCGGGTAGCACTCAACATCCACAGCTGCAACACATGATACAAAACATATTCTTATATACGGTATGCATATATATATATATATACACAGAAGGCTGTATTTGTGTGTGTGTGTTTGCATATACGCATGTGTGCGTATTGTATGTATAATTGAAAAAATAATGATGATAATAATTATGCTAACAATTAATAATAAGTAAAACAATAATAACAATAATGGCAATAATAATCCTAATAATGATAATAATGATAATAATTATAGTAATTATTAATAATAATAACAATAATATTATTTATATATATATATGATGTGTGTGTGTGCGCGTGTGTGTGTGTGTGTGCATGTGTGTGTGTGTGCACGTGTTTGTTTCTTTGTTCATGGAAATATGCGCATCGCATGTTCTTTCAGATTTTCTCGCTACAACAGTATTGTTGATACAAATTGAAAATCATTGAGAATAGCTGGGAGCCTTGAAAATCCTACACACCCACACACCAAAATTTGACCAACTGAAATGTTCGCAACAAACAGCAAATTTTAGCAAATCAAATTATATGCACAGGTTTCACCCATCTTTACAACCTGAGAACGGGGGAACGAAAGCCAGGTGTTACAAGGGACGCAAGGGGTCTTTTCCGCGCAAGGCGAGAGAATGGTTTCGAGAGGTCACTGAAGCCTATTTGGAGCCTTCTCAACTGGGGCTGAGTTTTCACAATGCTGGTGTGCATTTTGATGACGGTTTGAGGGCTGAAATGCACACGGAACTTGGGGTGAACGTGGGGTAAGTTTATGGCATACTTGAAGCGAACTTGGTATAATTTGGCCCCATCTTGGGTGCGTATCTCTAAGGAACGTCCTTTCCGGCGTCGTTTTCTGACTCGTAGTGTGGAGCGTCTTCCCACTAGATCTTCCCTCTGTTCTTTTTTCCCCTAATTTCCTCCAAACCACCTTAAACTACTCCATACTACTCCCCACAGCGGAAGTCAACACACGCTTCCCTTTGGTGCACCCTCCTTTCCCACTAGCCGCCACTAGCCCTTCCCTCTCTATTATCACCATCGGGGTTTCTCATGCCCACGCCTTGCTACAAGCTGCTTCTTACGCTCGCCAGGAATATCTTGCCACTGATCTCATATCTCTGGATCTTCTCTTAACCCCCTTCAACTAGGGACAAGGGGGGACTCGTTTTCGGCCTCTCTGGCGCGACCTCCCCCCCTCAACTCGCTTCGCTCGCGGCAAGAACTTCAGCCAGGCCTACCGGCTGGCTTTCGTAATGAGGATTGAACCAACCATAATTGGTATATCATTGGGATACAACCAAGAATATGATACTTGCACTGTGTGGAGCTAACATCCCCGCATAGACCCAAGGCTCAATGGCATGTTCCAGCGTCTGCTTGTCGGAGCTGCCAGACAAAGCTTCCAACAGAACAGACAGCTGCGGATCTGCGATGACCTCGAAGAAACAGCCAAACTGCAGCTGGGAGCATTTGGGATTATAGTTAAATAATGTTATGTAACTGTAAATGGGCATATCATTATATATATATCATTATATATATATTATATATTACATTTTATATATATATATATATATCATCAGGGTTGGAGGGGTTATGTCCCAATTTACAAGGGTTACCACCATGGTTAGAACCACTAGTGAGCTCAACTGCCCACCAAGTCCACAAGGCAAACAGTGAAGTTTTGATCCTGTTTTACCTCACCATTTCTGACTTGTAATTATCAGTCTCCCATTGGAATCTGCCTAGGAAAAATCACCGCCACAGTGTTGTTGAATAATGTTGAATATAGGGTGCCCCACAAATCCATCATAATCCATCATAAAGTAATCCCATGAGCCCCAATGGGTCATACATGCCGTTGATATTGCTCTTGATGGGTAGCAACGGCTGCTAAGGCAGGGAGCTTCTTTGACGGCGTCACTGTTTTGCACAGCTATGTCACCGTTGGCGTTGACCACATCCCTGTCATTTTTGGAGATAGGCCACCAGTGCGTCAATAGTGTCATATGATCTCACAATTAATACATATTAATACCAAGGCTCCAAATCTAGAAGCGACATACCAGGAAAGAAAGCACGAAGAAACACTTGATACCATGAAAGCTGTGCGAGTTCATCCTATTCGGTGTACCCGTGTTTAGTCTTACGCTTTAATTCACATGTGCACATGCAAACTTTCTGAGTGTATTAAAGGATAGACTCAAACATACACCAGCTGCAACATGTATCAACATGTTCCTTCCTGCCTGCTTTCATTTTTCAGCACTTGGAGTGCAGTCAGTTGGGACGTGAACGATGCCTTCAGTGCAGAGGAGTAGCGCTCTAGCAGCATCTGGTGTTTTTTCCATTTCTCGTTGTCCTCGCCGCAGCTTTGAGCTCTGTAGCTAGCAGTCAGGCAGAGTTTTCAATGGCTTGCCTCACTTAAGATATTTCCGGACATCCAACCTTGCAATCTGCCAAATCTCCACTGGAAGGGATAAGATGGGTCAAAGGGGGATGAACGTCCAGAAGTCCATATAAGTCCATGAGTACTGTACCAGCAACTCAGGTTCACCACATATCCATAAGTACTGTAGTATATCCCAACCTCCCAAGTCCCAATATCGGTCCTCTTCTGAAGCCTTTGCCCTGAGAGCCTCGTTTTCCTCTTTCAACTTCTCCAGTTGTCCGTGTAGCACTGAGATTTCACTCCTAGCCGCCTCGATTTCGGCTTTCACAGGTCCAGAGTCCTTCATCTCTCTCGTCAAGAGATCTCCTGGGCGAAAAATCGTTGGACACTTTGGGCTCTCAGTGAAATCCTTGAAACATTTGAAGCCGAAAAACGTACCCCGTCATTTGATTTGATGCGTTCTGAAACAAGGCATGCAAAAATGCATGCCCATGAAAGATCGTCAAATTCTCTGAGAGTTTCCCTCTAGCCCTATTTTGTTGTGTTTCTCTTCTTCCTTTCGAGTCTCTTGTTTCTATTTAGATTCCCTGAGAGTTTATGTATATCTGCAAGCTTCTATGCATTGTGCATGTGTGTGTGTGTGTGCAGTTCCAAATGGTTTCTATGATTTTCTTGGATGTTCATCTTTTTGGTCCAAGAGCTATCAAGTAGTATCAAGTTGACTAGAGTGACTAGAGACTGAAAACTCCCCTTCCTCAAAAAAGCTCAGTCAAGACCTTGGCACCCTGATGAAAATCCTCCTCAAAAAGCTCGCAAATGGACATTCATCTCCGAAAATGTGTTTTTGTCCGCAAACCGGTTTTCCCTATATCAACATTGCCATGTAACTGGATATACACCACTTCGGTCCAAGGCGCTGTGGGTCCGCAACACCGAATTCTCCTTCTGTAACCCCGAATTCTCCCTCTGTGCTTCTTTCAACTGGCTTTCGGCCTAGCACAGGTGATTAGGTAGTGATGGGATTTGTTGGAAATTTGGGCTAATCATAACAAAACCATCCCGAAGTACGGTTGATGAAATTTTGATAAGTTGTATTCCCCTAGAACTGGGTGATGTAGAATGTAGAATGAACCCCACATGGTGGGTTGGTGGGATGGACACACAACAACATCACCTTGACATTCCGTAGGGATCCAGTTCCAAATGTTCATCTCAAAAACTGACCCGAATGGCTGGCCACGGCAAAAAACCGACCAGAATGGCTCATCATGGCCCATTCAGAACCACCAACCCTCTGACAGGTTTGCCTCAGAGAGCTGGTATTCCAGGCGCGACTTCCGCTTTTCCATCTCGGTTAGCTGGTCACGAACCAAATCCTGGCAGGAGCTTAGGGCGGCCCTGGAGTTGGCCCATTTTAAGTGGCAAATGTCCTCATTTTTCTGGCCTCAATCTTCCTCAACAGGGTTGGTAAATCCAGGGCTGACATTACTTCACAAATCTGACAGAGGCCACGTTGGGATACTTGCAGGGTTTTGTACGTGTCATTATATATCGTTGCGTTGGTTGATGGGAGAATCTACTGGAAACCAGCGTTCTTGCATAAAGGGGCTTCCTGTGAACTTTCCCGTCACTCAATTCGGACTCCAATCCAACTCTGAGAATGTGGGGGCCAACCCTAATGAAACAGTCATTGCCAGTCTCCTACTCTGCTGGCAAGCTGTCCTCAGAATCTTGTGCTTGTCTCGCTTGAGCTTCAAGCTGTGCCTGGGTGACAACAGCAGGAAACCTACAGATTACATCAGATTGCTATAGCAAGGTCCTGCATGAAATCAGCATTCAAGTGTCTACCAAATCAGCCCATGACACAGTAGCCACTACATCACCACTATATTATGGTTATCCTGCCTCAAACCCTGAATCCTTTCTCTCGATTGCTCCAAGTGCAGCTGGTGAACTGCCCGCGCTTGCTCCAAGGCATGTTCAGCCTCACGGTTCTTCGCTGCATCCTTGGTCAATGGAGGATTTGTCGCTGAGGGGTTACCTCATGTTACCTCTATATGGGATCAACATGTGGGAAAAAGATGGAAAAGGACATTGAAAAGGACATTGATCCCATATAGACCATATAGAGGTAACCCCTCCATAGATTAACATGGGTAACCCCTCCAATCATATATGGGATCAACATATGGGATTAACATGTCCGGCCAAAAGTCTCTTCTCCACTCGAAAAGTTCCGCCTTGAGGGCAGCGTTTTCGTCCCTGCCATGTTATGATGGCTGTCGGCAACTGATGACCGTCCCAGTCTGACAATCGATCAATACAACATGGAATCACCCTCGGCATCTACGGTGCAAGAGGACAGGGGTGCAAATAGCTAGAAAATGTCAGGTCAGAAGGCGCAATAGCCGCAATAGCCGCAATAGCCAGGTACGTGGGTGTGAGTCACAACCCTCTACCCCTTGTGAACATCAAAATGGTTGGCAAATGGGTTTACATATCCATCATTGTCCATCCCCCTGAAAATTGCATTCATTAGGTTTTGACCATAGCCATATCAAAAACCAGTGACCAGTGCCCCTGCCTGATGGAAGACATGCTGTTTCGCAGCTTTTCGAGCTCAGCCTTTGCAGAAGTTCAAGTCGCAGCCAGTTGGCAAGGAGCACTTAACGATCCATCCATCCACTACAAAAAACGAGCATTGGGAGTTGTCCCAAGAATGGGGTGATTGGAGCTAGCAACTAGCCACAACTAGCAGCGAAATGTCAGAAACATGTTGACCCATGCCCATTTTTGCACCAATAAATCCAGGTGAGGGATCTTCTCTTCCAAGTTACAGGAGCAGAGCCATTATCCGCAGACGCCACAGGTGGGGGGATCACCACTGGAGGAGGCACCACCACAGGTGTAGCTGGTGGAGCCGCTACCGCTGCTACTGGAGCTGTTGCAGCTGCAGCTGGGGGATTCATGGGAGGTGGGGCAACCACCGGCGGAACCAAGCTGCCCCCTGCCATGCCCATGCTGCTGAGACCTGCAAATGGCTTGAAAATGCTTGAAATGCTCGAAATTGCTTAAGCTGGCTGCAGATGATTCCCACGCGCATGACTTTTTGCAAAACATGGTTTAGAGTCTAGAGGAAATTGCAGAATAGAATCTGGTCAGTTCCCCGATGAACTACGACCACGGCAGCGCCTAGCAGAGACACAGATTTCGGGAAGGAGCCCGGAAGCGCTGCCTGTGAGGCTGGAACAATCAGACATGCTCGTCGTTTGCAGGATCAAAAAGGATCAAAAAGGATAAACATAATCAGGATTCATCCAGCCAATTTTTGCGAGCATCAAGTTTTTCACGCCATTTTCAGGTCACTTTGCTTAGTTCCCCATTTTGAAGTGCCCCTTGTAAACATGACAAGTCTCAACCAAGCCGGTTTGGTGGACCTAAAGCGGGTAGTCAGCCACAAACCGAAGCGAATTCCTTCTGCTGCTTGGAAATGAGAGGATGTAATTTTCCTTCCAAATCCCTCCAGTAAACCTTGGTTTAAGAAAAGAACAATGTGATAAACCCAGAAATAAACCATCCCCAAAGATTCTATAACCCATCCCCAAATGGTAGTTGTTTACGGCATTGGGTGCCCACAGGATATATAAACGCTGATAAATCGGCCATTGGGCCCAGCTCCCAGCCTGGGGCCAGGGTGACGTGGGCGGAGGTGGAGGTGGCATCTGCACCGTCTGCCCATCGTAGAATTCCATGGTCTCCTCCTTCACGGGTACCAACTGCCTGGGACACGGCATTGCTGAGATGTTCATGGGAGATTCATGGTAAATGAAATGGCAGTATGATGGGATGTAATATCATTAACTGGGATGTCTGAAAATGGTGCATGTACCGGAAAATTGTAATGTATGTATGTATGTATGTATGTATGTATGTATGTATGTAATTATATATATATAGATAGATAGTATTGCTCAAGACTTAAGTTAGAAAGAGAGTGATACAGTAAATCATCGGAAATCATTGGATTTTGGGGATGCTATATTTTCAGACAAACCCATTGGGAAAAATTCGCAAAGCGTGGGCTGCTGCGTGGAAATACAAACTTAGATGAACTAACGAAGACACAACGGAGACCCCAGACTGCAAGCTTTGATCATGAAGCGATTGTGCAGCAAGCAAAGCCACCATTAATATATTATATCAAGACGCACTTGCAAAAGTAAAACAACAAAGTGATGAAAATTTGCCACAATGAAAATTGCAAATCAGGGCAAGATTCTGGCTCTGTCGGTCTGCCAGAAGCTTTCGAGGCGGCGGCGCCTGACAAAGCGACTTGCTGGTATAGGCCATCAGGGACAGCTAACAATAATAAGAAACAAGAAGTGGAAAAGACATGTATGATTTATGTATGTACCCAAAAATGAAGAAGACTTTGAGTCCGAAAGCAAGCGGCAAGAAGAACACCAACAAAGTAATCAATGACATTTCCACCAAAATAACAACTTTTCATGGTGAAAATGCTGATAAACCATGATAAACCACTGGATTTCAAGGGAATCTATCCATTTTCAGAGCAATCTACCCGTGGCCCAAAGCAGCCGCCTGTGGGGGTCTGGGCATCAGCTTCTTCTTCGGCTGGACCCTCTCTTTGGGTGCCGGCTTCGCCTTGGCATTCCTTGGAAGTGGCGCACTGTCGGTTGGAAAAAAGTTGCAGGAAACCATGGGTCAAGAAACTCTTTTTATCTCTCTATCTCTCTCTCTCTCTCTCTTTCTCTCTGTTTGTTTGGTGATGTGTGTGTGTGTGTCTCAAGTTTCCATTTTTGGTGTTGTTTGTTTTTGTTTTTTTTTCCAAGGTTTTTACCAAGTGTTGGGTACTTCAAAGAAACTGGCATGAATCACAGGCAAAGCTGTCAAAGTGCCTTTGGGAGTGCAGTAAAACATCTCAAAATATCATCTTAAATCATGTGGAAACTGCACTCCCAGGGGCTGAAATTCTGTTTTTCTTCCGGTCGAACTTCTACATCCAGCCACGTGTCGGCTGCAGATCTGTTGAGTCTTACCCCACATGACGTTGTCTGTTGAGAGAAGCAATGTTTATTTATGTATGATGGATCGTTAGCTGACAATTGTTTTTGTTCCTGAGCTCCTGTTTTCGAAAAAACGGGGGTTGCTGGATGATATGCTGAAAACAATTGAGAACGTTCAGGATGCATGAATTATCAAAACCAAACGTTCAATCCTTCCAGACGCTCCGCCTCACTGAGATTCAGTGAGTGTTTGACTCACCCCATCTGGCCTCTTTTTCGGATCTGCATCGCCAATCGCCATGGGCCACAGGGGCACGAGTTGCGCAAGCTTGGTGATTGAAATCTAGTCAAATCCAGCTATGTCCTTCATATTTCCAGCTCCTGTCCCCCACAAACATCAAAAAATCCAAAGCATGTTTTATGAACTTGCGGAGATGTTGGGAGAGCGAATCTACAGTGGAACATGGAAAGGCCCTGCGAAGGTATGCGTGCGTTCTTTTAAATTGATTGTGTGCAGGTTGCTTCGTGCCTGCTGATGAAATACGTAATGACTCTTGTATGCATAATGTGCTGTGGCTACTTGGGAAAGCCATGATGGTCTGCATGGTCCTTCTTTCATCTCATGTGCAGCTACGCAGCTATTGTCTGTGTTTCAAGTGCATCTCACAACGGTACATGTGATAAACCGAATAAACCATCTCCAACATCCCCAGAAATGGTTGGTAGTAAAAGATGTCTACATAATATTTTTTTTTTTTACTCACTAACACTCCTGCTGCATGACCCACTCTGCGTCTCACGCGCCAATGGACTTTGCCATTGGGGAAGGCTATGTACAGCCACACCGGTCACCGCGGGAGGCGACTATCCGGTGGGCGTTCATGCCACCGGACGTCAGCCAGGGTCGCGGCGAACGGCGGGGGCTCCCCATCGACGCCGGGCGCGGCCGCGGCCGGGAGTTCGAGGAGAGTCTCGGCCAGGGCGCGCTGCGCCGCGACGGATAGGAGGCCGGCCCAACGGTGCACGCCCGCGCCCGCACTGCGCCAGCACTTACCGAAAGATATTAGAGATAGATAGATAGATAGATAGATAGAAAGATGAGATAAGATGAGATAAGATGAGATAAGATGAGATAAGATGAGATAAGATGAGATAAGATGAGATAAGATGAGATAAGATGAGATAAGATGAGATAAGATGAGATAAGATGAGATAAGATGAGATAAGATGAGATAAGATGAGATAAGATAAGATAAGATAGATAGATAGATCGATAGATCGATAGATTGATAGATTGATAGATTGATAGATTGATGGATAGATGGATAGATGGATAGATGGATAGATGGATTAGATTGGATTAGATTGGATTAGATTGGATTAGATTGGATTAGATTGGATTAGATTGGATTAGATTGGATTAGATTGGATTAGATAAGATCTATCTATCTATCTATCTATGTATACGTGTGCGTGTGTGAATGTAATCACTATCAGCAACTCGTTTTATGGCAGGTTTCCACCGAGGCGTTGGTGCGTGCACTGAGGCCCCTGCAACACTGTGTTCAAGCGAACGTAGGCCTGGCATTTTCGATCTCACGATAATGGACGTGCATGTGTCTATGCGTATGAGAAGTCGTATAGACCGTATAGACCGTATATAGATGTATAATATATAATGTAATGATGAATAAACGAATCATGATAGATCTATATCAACTAGTATCAATCTATGCTCAAATATTATCAACTGATATCCTCACGGGTCCCAACCAATCTCCCAAAAATCCTGTGCCTGCCCACTCCGGTCGCCAATGTCCTCCAAGATCCAAATGGCCTCAACACACAAAATCCATCAAAATTGTAAACCATGTGGATGTCTCTGAATATTTGGATATCCCCGCAAAATGGCAATGTTAGTAGGGAAAAGGATGACCAACCAGCAGGTTTAGAGCTATCTTCCTCTCAGGCAAACCGATTAAATCAAAATTAAAACCATATGAAAGCACAAAGACCAAAATTGGGATGCCAATGGACTGAAAGTGGCCATGTGTATGCCATTTCTAGTATAGAACATGTGATATGAAAGTAGAATTTAAAAATATGGGCTAGCGGTTAAACTCCATCCAATGTGGCTTTGTCTGAAAATAGGCAAACATGTATCCCCACATGTTTGACTGCTGAATCATATTCCCTATATTAAGTTGCCATTTTATGGGTATGCCATGGTATACCCCATTTTCAGACCCAAAAATCACACTGTTGGTCGGGCTGGGAGGCGCCTCTTGGGCGGCCTGCAAAGATTCAGGGAAATGCTTCACGCTGCACTGCAGTGCAGCCTCGGCTGGGAGTTACCAGAGATTAACCAGCAAAAAAATGGATGTAACCTTGATTTATTGGGTATAATTAATATATGCTGGGTATATATCAGGAATCTATTGGGTGCAGTATATATCATTATATATATATTGGAAATATATTGGGATACATACTGGGATCTAATTACACCCCATTTATCGCCAATTAAGACGGGATATCATTTTTGAATTCACTGGATTTTGGGGCACAGTGTCCTAGTTTTTGGACTAACCCATAGGAGTCCCAAACAAAGAAAAAGGTTGTGAGGTTGTGGCAACCAAAATCGAAATCGTTCCAGCGATATGTACGAGATGTCATTTTCTGTGTATGTTCGCCATAATTTCCCAACATTTCTTGGTCAAAAATGTCAAAAACTCTTAGGTTTCGACCACGGAATGAAGCATGATGGCTTCCCATGGCAAGTCCTAGACGAGTCCACCATGATGGCTTTGGAAATAGGGTACCCAACACATCCACTGGGCATATCATCATTTGACCTATCAAAAAGTACTTAAATTGCCATAAATAGCCCATGGTCAAGCCAAAGATCAGACTGTTGCTTCTGTAGCCCGAAAGCATCAATAATATCCCATTCCCCGTTTTCACGGCCCAATTGCAGACACATCCAGGGTCCTCCAAAGTTTTGATCAAGTCTAAAGCCTCAGTCGCTGCTTCCAACGCCTTGGCCGACGGCACAGGACGGAAAGCAGGTCCTGAGTTTCCGCTACCAACATGTGGAGACATAATGAGACAAACATGTTTTTGGGATGCTGATTGCAACGTGAGCTATACATGACATACACATATGTTTATATTTATATACATATAAATATACACATATATATATATATACACATATACATATACATGTACATACACATATACATATACATATACATATAGAATCATATAGAGAGAGAGAGAGTCCCAAACATGCGTGTATGTATACATGTATATATATATAGTTTTTGTGTTGCCAAACGTTTGGCCTCCATGGGTCTTCTCATGCCGTAGAGCACCGAGGCGATTTGATCCAAGGCTATGGCCTGACCAGTTTGTTTATCGGGATGATCATAGGGTGAACTTCACTCGTGGATGAATGGGATATATATATATATATTATATAACCAACTTTAACCATCATGGGATAATGAACTGGGATGGTTAATTGGGATGATTGGATGATTAAGTGGGATGATAACTGAGATGATATACGCAATGATGTGGGATTGATGAGTGAACATTCATGGGATGAGGGGTGATTCATGTGGGATTCACCCAAAAGGTGCATTGGATGTGGCACCCTGGCGGCCCAGGCCCAGGTCCTCACCACGCTTGTAATGTTGTTCTCGGAACCTGTGAGCTCGGGAGGCCCCAAGGCTGGGAGCTGTTCCTTTACTCAATGTTCATCTATTTTCCACACCTTTGGCTGGTTTTTTGGCGCCATTCCACCCATGGAAATTCTGTGAAATCGCCAGAACATACTGAGAATCTCACTGAGTCAGCGCAGCTTCAGCCACTTCCAAACCCTTTTGGTCATCTTGGATGATGCCTCAGAGATGCTGTCAACTGATCAAGGCCAGTGCTGGCTCACTTTCAAAACTTCCATGGCCATGGCCATTCCAAGCCTAGTAGAAATGTATAGAAATGTCACACCAATCCATCTCGCTTTCAAAACTGTCCATTTCTTGATGGCCTGCAGGTTGGCAGGCTGCCAAAAATCATCTTCCCAGCTGTGCTTAGCTGCTTAGCTCATGGCTGTGGGCCTTCACAAGGATCCGTAAAACATTCGACCTGGAGGCTTCGTCGAGCAGATTGAAGTGTCTCTGCAAGAGTGGCGCTTCATGTTTTTGTTGTCAACCATCCTCAACTGCCTGTGAACACCCCACATTTCCAGGAAAATTGATGTTACTGGGTTGAAGGGAACATCAACAGGAAACTATATGAAACTGTGGGGTCTTGCCAGTAAATTTGCTAAATTCTTTGTAATTGTTTGGTGTTTTCTCCTGAAGATATTACCTTGAACCAAATCACGGGGTTTCTTCTCGGGTTTCATTGGTTTCAACACATCGCTCAAGGCTGTTGCTGGCCAAGCAGGCTGTTCTGCCGGCGGTAGATGGCCATAGCATCTTCGGCAGCCTGAGGGCACAAAATCGACTGGTGGTTGAGGAATTCCACACAAAACCACGTTTTTGCAAATACATGCGTTTCTATGCGTTTCTTGCAAATGTTCCCATCATCCAACCCGGGACATGGAGTAGCCGGCTCAAATTGTCACAGAGTTTCAGTAAGGATCCTATCATCAATGATGACGATTTAATTGATGATATTTCATGGCGATTTACCAAGATTTATGTTTACCGCTATTTACCTAGTCAAATTTGGCATGATCAGGTGAAGCTCGCAGTTCAGGCCTGAAGCATCTTGGTATCATCCTGCTCACAGGGGCCCCGTGAAAAATGGCGACTCCCCTCAGGTGAGCAGGGTGTACCATAGGTTCGCGCCCTATTTGATGTTTATATATGTTTATGCCAGCGGACCGAAAACCGTGCTCGTAAAACGCACGTTTTTCTTTGCGTGTGTTCGGAGGTCATGATGGGGTCGGGTGGGGTGGGGAGGGGCATGCTCACGTTCATTGTACTTCGTACGTTATATGTTGCTACGCTGCAGAGATCTCTGGTGTTCTTGCTACGGTGTATACACGAAGGGGTGGGGTGGGGTGGGGGGGCCATGCTAACGTTCCTTATACTTCGTACGTTATATGTTGCTACGCTGCAGAGATCTCTGGTGTTCTTGCTACGGTGTATACACGAAGGGGTGGGGTGGGGTGGGGGGGCCATGCTAACGTTCCTTATACTTCGTACGTTATATGTTGCTACGCTGCAGAGATCTCTGGTGTTGTTGCTACGGTGTATACACAAAGGGGTGGGGTGGGGTTCAAAGAGCAAAGATCTTCTCCTGTATGTGAAATGCTGGCAATGGCGATATGTGAATCGACATACTCGGCTCCAGCAAAAAACAATTTCAACGCTGAAGCGTCTGGTTTGAAAAGACAATAAAATGCGCCTATCAAATTGATCCAATGAAAAGTGTCCAAAACCCTCACGAAACGCGAATTTTGCCAAATTCTCGCGCGATAATTTTGCCAAATTTGGCTCATACAAATGTGCATTTCGCTGTAGCGAAAACGACATTTAAAAAAAAAAAAAAAAACGTTGTTTTTACGAGCACGGTTCCCGGTCCGCCGGGATGTTCTTGTCCATGTTTTTTCTGCTATTAAGTCCTATTTGCTCCTGTTCATACTCAAAAATACTCAGACTATCTCAGACTATATTTATATATATATATATATGTGTGTGTGTATGTATGTACAGCATTCTAAAGTTATTACTGATTGTCTAGCAAGGGCACCTGAAACTCAAAAGAGTTTCATGAGCTGCTCGTGCGGTCCTTGCTCAATTTGTGCCACTCGGCAAGGCTCATGAGTTCGGTTGCCTGCAAGAAGGTAATGCTGGACATTCAATGGCAAACAGACCCAAACACTGTGGAACATTAGTGGAGCACGATACTCACCAGATACTATCAACCAATCCGACCAGTAGCTTGCATTTTGTCATTCGAATGGGGGGAATTGTGTGGGAGTCGCCTCGCTGGGCGCAAGAAAAAATCCAGCATGGAGATGGCTGATCATCATTTGGCGCAAGATGGAAGTGTCAGTGAAGGACAAGTCCAGTCAGCGCGCACTTTTTTTGCGACCGCCACCATCTCGGTTTGGTGACCTCACAATTTCAGGGCTCAAAGTAGCACTGCTGGCACTGCTTCATGAAGTTCAAGGCCATCATGTTCACCCCAGCTCCTCTCTGCCCAAATGTTCACCAAGTCGATCATGGGCTCCATGGCTCCATGGCTCAATGCCCGGAGTTTCCCACGAGTTGTCCCCGAAATTGCCATGAAATTTGGGTCACGGATAGCCCATCTCCCGTGGCAGCAACGTCCCAGTGGCCGCCATGAGCTGTCGCAGGCGGAGCGCCCAGGCAAGAACGGACCAAAAGGCGACGTCTTGCCTCGGACTGGAGTTGAAAGTTGCAGGAAAAGAATGCTTTTTTACCACTAAATGTGCGGATTTCCCTTAGAAATTGCATGTACATGCATGTACAATTATTCTCGGGTTTGGGATGGGGCTGGATGCACAGCAATGATGGCTGACTTCCTTGCAAAGTGCTACTAAACATGCATGAGAACCCATCTTGAACATGGAACAGGAAGTCCTACCCACACAGGAGACATAGACTCTGATTTCCGGGCGGCTGGGTTGAAGAGACTTGCTCTGGTTTGCCAGCAGTGTACTCAAAAGCAAGAAACAGGGCCCTTGACTCAGAGGAACCAGTGTGCATGCCTCAGCTGGACCCTGTGGACGCAGAAGGACGCTGTCAGCCTCGGAGGCCTATTCCTTGGGGAGAGTATGCTTCGGAAAAGTTTAACCACCATACCACATCCAACTCCAACCACCAATTCCAGTGTGATTGACAGAAACTGACATGCACCGTCAAAGCAATTCCGGAGACCGGGTCAAAGCCAGCTAGCTGCTCAGCCGAAAAAGTGACAAGCATTATATTGAAGGACTTGCGTTGATCTATTAGTCCCTTCGCCTGTATAATGATATACAAGTGATATACTATGACCAGCACCAGCATGCATTCCCCACAGTAAGTGGGGTTTGCCTCGATCTATGGCCACATCATTTTCTGTAATTCTTTCCACAGGAGAAACAGCACACTTCCCGACGCATTTGTGCTCTTGCCTTCGCCCCTTTGCAAGTTGATGCAAGTTGTGGTGTCTGTGTCTATACGTGTGCCGGTATTGGGTATGGCTCAACATTATGTACCCTACACCGGACAATACTAACACGTGCTTTGGGTCTTTGAGCCTCAAATTCTTAGCCGGTTCGACAAAATCGATCCTTCTGCCCCCGGAGCACCAGCCAGTCTGGAACTTACAAAATGATTACAGTGTTCAAGAATAATATGCCTGAAACATCTGAAACGTGTTCTCCAAAAAAATGACACCCGGAATCATTTACGCAACAATGCATTGAGGGAAGGTGACCGCAATACCCTCTGATAATCAAACATGGCAAAGAAAAACACACCATTTGTAGATGATTTGTCTCTTTAACATATTACTTATGCTGCTCTATATGGTTTTCCAATCCAGCGTAAATGATCTCCAAATGTAATGTCAGTGATCGAGAATATTCGAGAATCGTGTCGAGGAGGAAGCCCTGCAAAAACAACAGGAATCCAACGAGAATCCAACGAACAATGATGAGCCCTCTAGGGGGCACTCCTGCCAAGGGTCGCAAACGACGCCATGCCCGATTGTCCATGACGAGGACGTCGCCCGCACGAAGTGGGACACTGATCAGAGAGACCTACACGCTTTGAAGCAACAGAGTTTCTTGATGTTTGTTGCCCATGCGATGCAGCGGGGCCCAGGGCAATCAGAGCAATCACAGACCGAGAGAAAGAAAGAGCGAAAAAGAGATGGAAACGTCTACCTCGTTTTGAGGAGTTGAATATGCTGTAGCCCAAGGATTTCCTAGTTTTCTTCAAACCCTGCCTCGTTGTTCGCAGGATGTTCCCATGCATGCGAGCCAAGGAGGACTTCAAGCTGAGCGCCTTTGTTTTGGCATTGAGAGCTAGCTGACCCAAGTGGGTAGGGCTTTTGGCGCACTGTCTTTGAAGATGAACCATTGCCATCAACCATAGCAGGCCCTTACACAACCTATGAACCTATGGGTCACTATAGGTTGCCAAGGTGACCATATAACAGCTGGCAGCCATCAGAACACTTAGACTTGTCACTTTGGAGGAAGCCGATTGTTCGATGGGGAAGGAGGAAGGAACCCTGAGTGCCTCCTGCAAAACCCAGCGGTAAAAAGTTAAAAAAGTGTCCTCTGGGAATGCTCATCGCATTTCCATTCCTGAGGGCATGCCCAGGGTTCATTTAATTCGACAAGGTGCCACTGCTGCTCCTCGCGAGAAAACGACTAAGATCTTGACCCAGGTCCCAGAAACTTGAAACATCCTTTGCTTTGTCCACTTTGGATGCCGAAGTCAAATCAATCAGAGGCAACAGCACGGTCAGTCCGTGACTGGAGCTTCGACTGAATCCAGAGCTCACTTCTCCAGCCCAGGGCCACTGAACGGCGGCACTGGCCACAAATGCCTTCGCAGCATTGCCGGCATCTGCCCACACCAGGAAAGCCCGCTTCAAGACCACCGCATCTGATGGCTTCGCGTTTGACCCTGCCGCACCCAACATGGTCTCCCGGATGGTTGGAAGCCAGAGCTTCTCAGCAGAGCGTAGAATGCCCAAACTCATGACCTTAATGATGGAGCAGGTCCAAATCAATCCAAATCACAACATTTCTGCCACAAATTGTGGCAACAGTTGTTGCGGGGGCGTCCTTCCTGTAGTCTTTCCAACTTGAAGTGCGCATTGAAGCGTGCAGGTATCTCAAAACTGTTCAGGAAAAACCTACGAGAAGTCTCCATTAAGGCTAGAGGAGTCGGGTCAGGAGGAACGCATATCCCCCCAAAAAGTAATACCTGGCATGGTAGAAACACAACAGCAAGCTACCCCTGATGGCTCATACAATAGGAGTGCAAGTGAATGTAGGCCAGAAAATCACTCTTTCCAGATTGTGTGATGAGAAGTGTGTGGCAACCAAGCAGCCAAATCCGGAAAGCGCCAGGTCGCATCCGTGTCCAGCAACTCACTACTCTCACTTCGGGCTTGCCATGATGCAGCGTGCACTTCGTGCATGAGAGCAGCTACTTCAGGCATCACCCCATCTTCTGTCAGCAGTTCCGTATCATGGAAGCACCAGGTGTTCCAAACTGGCTCATCACTCTTCACCTCAACTTCACCCTGGCTTGCACCATCCGCCTTAGACTTCTTGGATTTCTTGGATAAGGCCAGGGGTCCAAATAACATCAGTGATAAGGTGGATCCCCATGATGGTCCGGGTGCAGCTGAATCCGCTGAATCCTTGGCATTCGAAGCTGCACCAGCCCCTCCAGCATCACCTGGCTCCGATAGCTGGTCTGCATCGAAGCGGCCAACGCTGCCAGGGCAGCTTTCGGCGATCCTGCAGAGAAACGATGGGAAAGCAAGACAGGGGGGTGAGAAACCATGTTTGATACAAAATTGATCTGGCAATGTGTGTGTGTATGTTCGTGCACGCATGTGAAGTATAGAAGTGTGTTTGTGTGTGTGTGTGCGTATGCGGATGATATATATATATCTGTGTGTGTGTAATTGGTATTCATCCATGTGTGTGTGTGCCCATGTCGTATGTGTGCGTGTGTGTGTGTGTGCAGTATGTATCTGTCTCTTTCTCTGTTTTTACTCCCAGATTAGTGTTGCAAAGGGTCGATCAAGTAATCATTTGGTACAAATTCAGCAGATCTATATCTGAAGTCCTGGAGCATGCAGTCTCCAGCAGTGCCCTGACACTTGGTTGTTTCATGGATTGCAGCATCGACAGGATGTAGCCGGATGAATGTCCCAGCAGAGCACCGGCCATAAAGGATCCTGGAAAGAGTAAAGGCATGGCCAGAGCTGAGCCGATGGCTGCTCCTGCCACATCCAGGTTGATGGATTTCGAAGGACCCAACAGCGGTCTGCCTTGAAAGGTGATACCCTCCAACACTTCAGCAAAGTGACCTCCCTTTGGTTGATGCAACTTGGCCTGGTGCAATGGCACGGTTTCAAGCAGAACACAAGCCCCATAGCGTTGCATACAGCCCTCAAAGGCCTTCTGCCCTTGCTTGGAAACTGCCTTGGCATCAAGCTGCAAGCTACGCAGGAAACGGTTTTCCTCAGCTTGGATGAGCTCCTGCAACTCGGCTTGTTTGTACACCAGGTAGCTCAAGCCTCCAAGGCTTGCACCGAACAACCCCCGAGATGCTGCTGCTCTCATGCCGCCATCGGAGCCATCCTGCCATGTTATCCCAGCAGAGCTGCCGGATCCATTCCCACCACCAACCTGTGCTGAGTGAAGCGAAGACTAAGAAAGCCCGAGCCTGGATGCTGAATGATGCTGACAAACGCTTGCACTTGCCGAGACTTATCCTAAATTTCGATGGCTACACTTGACAGATCTTATTTTTGAGCCCAAGTGCTTCACAAATGCCTCGAAAGTGCACTCCTTTGTCTGACTTTGGACGTTGAGATTGGTCAATGTTTAGTTGACATCCACATCAACATATGGCTACGGGTCAAGACCTCAAAATGGCTGGCAAATTGATGTTCATCCTGGTCATCCTCCCTAAAGGTTTGGAATGGTTTGGATCTATCCCCATGTGTCACAGCTATGCAGAAAGGGCGTGGCCCTCGCCTCCAAAGCGTGCAATCCGAGCTCTTGATACAAGGCGCAAGCCTTGTCACATTGCTATCCATCAACAGTGGGAAGACCGACCTTCTCTGAAGGGGGTCATACCGAGTCATTCCACCTTAGGACCTTTGCTGGGGACTCCTCAGAAGGGCTGTATCAATTCCTATTCGGGTGTGACTCATGCTGTGATCTTAGTTCGGAGATGGTCTTGGCAGCCTCGGCACATTCCCTGCCTGGCTAGAACTTCGCACGGCCTTCAACAGCAACGACACAAGAGCACAAACTCCATGGCCATCTGCATTGTACAGCGGTGACTACGAAGCAATTAAGTATCAATACACCAGGATATTGGGTTTCACCCTTTAGGTTTCACATGTGTCCTGCATATTATCATATGATAATGCCGTACATATTAAGTCTGTTTGTGCATTTCATTAAGTCAGTTCAATGCTGGCAATGCAATTTCTCTCCCGTGATAGCACGCCATCTCGCAGTAACAAACCGACGTAACATTCGACTGTGAGCGCGCAACGATGTTCCCGTTTGGATGCCAGCCTCGTTGACATCGTTGTTCAGGCCAGCAGCTGCTGCTACAAAGTGCAAAGCCTAGTCAAAAATCTGGGACCTGGGAACCAAATATGCTCTACCACATACTACCACTATTTGCCTTGGGATAGTGACATTTGTTGCATTTGTTCCTGGAAATCTATTTATATAGTTGCATATAGTCTCTCCGGCCCCCCCTCTCACTATCACTATTCTAGTTCCATTTGGTTACAAGCTCCATCAAGTTCCTGGTTGCTGCAGGCAATCCCCACCAACCCGCTAAGCCCAAGCCTTGGCCTCACCTCTCTTGTCACCCAGTTGCCGGTAGGCCTTGATAAATATCAGGCAGGATAACCCAGGATAACGGCGATTTATGAGGCTCACTTCACACCGTTGCGGTCCACCATGGACACCACTTCATCCATACACAGGATCAGTATGGATCAGTCACATGCAATCCATGGCAAGTTGCCTCCACTCCAGCACGGGCTGCACGCATCATGTGATCCCCTTTCTGCGCGTGTTCGTAGCTTTGAGCCTGGGGTATCACGTCTCCATATCTCAAGTCCAAGAAGGGCATCTGTTCAATGTGTAGTGATGTGATGTGTAGTGACTAGGGTGGGCAAAACATTTCAAAGGAGCTTGGTTTGCATCATTCTGTGTTGCATTTCTCATGGCAGATTGAATGTATGGTTTAAAATAGTCTGCGCTGAAGCTTGTTCGTCACCTGTTCGTACTTCCCTTGATTACTTGCAGTTTAGCCATCGACCAAAGCAACGCTCAGACGGGCAACAAAGTAGCACAGCTGCAACTGAGTGCAATGCCAGAGTCAGCAATCCATGAGCCTGCGAGGCCGCGAGGCACAGTGGAGTAGCTGCTGAACACAGCACTGTCACCATGCCTTGAGAGGCTTGTTGTTGAGAGACTGCACCTGTTCATCCGTCCGAAAGTTGCTGAAGAAAAACATGACATGCGAAAGAAAACATGTTGCTGACTCTACTAAGGCCTCTCAAACTCCAGAACATCTCAGGAAATTCAGGACATTTCATGAACTGATCAACCATAATCAACCATCTGAGGTCAGCTCCAACGCCAGGGCAGCTTTGGCCATGGAAATCACCTCCTTGGGCTTCACTGCTTGGAGCATCTTCAGCTCCACCAAGGACATCATCATGGCAGCCTCCCATAGCCCCCATGGATCGACCCCCAAAAAGCAACAAATCCAGTACGAAACCAAGGTTTCTATAGGTTTCTAGGGGGGTATTGTGGGGAAAGATGGGGAAAGGGGTTGCTTGCGATTTTGCCGCCAGTTCATTCTTTGTTCCAGGCCATAATCCCGTTGTTTTTAGTTCCTACTCCTACCGTTCATCATGGCGTGGTTTCATCAACTGAGGTCCAACATGGTCCAGAATCACCACGGGTCACTGGTGGCCACCGCCTCTCCGAGCTTGTTGCCACTATTGCGGCATCTATCTAACTCCTGTGCAATGGCAGCGACATTCGGCCACATTGCAGCTGGAATTTGAGGGCCACTTTCCATGGATTCCATGGATCAAGGTTTAGTATGTGCAGCTACAGACCTGCAGAGTAAATCCACTTTTCTTCAGCCGCGCGCTGTCAAAAAATTGGCTGTACAAGTTTCTATTCCCAATATCGTGGCAAAGTTGGCAGCAAATCAATCCCCAGAGATTGGAAGAGTATGGGTCGACCAATGATGAAGTAGCCGGCAAAAACTGAGAACACGTTCAGGAAGAGCCAGGCGCCAATGATCTGAAGCCTCGCACCAAAAAGACCACCTGCTAAAGCTCCCGTGTTCACTTCACCACCGGCACGGCAAGCCGTCAATGTCTCCTGCACTGCATCGCGCCTGGCATGGTGTGGACACCTCATCTAGGTTTGTCATCATGGTTTGTCTGAAATTTTGGCACGCAACAAGTCCAAGGGGATTATCATGGATTCTCAGTGCTTACCATCAAAATTATAACACTCTGACCAGTTTGGGGGCTCAACAGCATAACCCATGTCTGGATAATGTTAACCCAGGATCAGTAAAAGCCCCCAGTTTTATCCAGTTTGTCATATCACTGGTGGTAACAGGCCTTGTGATCAAATAGGTGCCACCGGTAAAGGCATTGAAGACGCTGTCGATGGCACGATCATTGCTGGCTCCCCTGGCTCGTAGCCTCTGGCGGAAGGCTTCCCGGTCCAGGCTTCCGGCGCCCGAAGGCCAAATGGAATCCAGATCGCACACCTCAAGGACCTGAAGTTGAAATCATAGAGGTTGTTATTGGTGAGATGTCATCGGGATATATCATGGGATATTATATAGATATATATATATATGTGTGTGTGTAATCACGATGTAAGCCAACCAACCATAATTGGATGTGAATTGATATCAACCCAAACAGGGTCTAAAGATTATAAAACCAGCCATTTTATGGTGATATGTAGCTGTATTTATAATATATATATATATATATAATGGGAATATTACTGGGACTATAACTAAGCAACAATGTGATAAATGGGGTTGTCCAAAGAAGGGGGTTGCCCCCCCAGTTGTGTGGCAACTTCAACGGGGAAAATGATGATATACCGCTGGATGGGTAACCAATTTCCAAACAAACCCATGAAGCACCATGAGACGTCATGAATGAAACACAATAATTTGTGATTTCGTCCTTCGTACACCCAAATCTACAGGCATACTTTCAAAAGTCCATGAATGCCTGCCAAAAAATCCATCAAGAACTTTGTCACAGAAAAACATCTAGGCCCAGAGCAAGTGACGCGTCGGGTCTCGTCGTCTGGCACAGTGAAATCTAAGGCCCAGGTGATGGGTGTGTAGTCGTAGCCCTCCGCCCGCCGTGCCGTCGCCCCCCGCGTCGCCGGACGCGGCTGCGTCGTCGATGCGTTGTGTTTTCGGATGGAGGTGAAGCTCCAAGAAATGTTGGGAGCCAGCAGCAGCAGGGTCGACAAACACCAGTGCCGCATTTCGGAGCTTTAAAAAGTGGCCGGTGAAGCCAACTTGTGCCCAAAGCTGCTGAGAGAATGGAAGAAATTGGGAAAAACCAATCCTGGAAAGGATAATCATTGGATGTGTTGCCAAATGCATTTCTGGGTACCAGCTCTTTTCCGAAGCTACACCCTCATTGTAATTTTGGATGGTTGTTGCTCCGGTCCCACCCATAATCCATTTGAATGAAATATGTCGATTCTTTTAGTCCTTCACTGGGCAATTCTTCAGCACCAACTTGAACGAACTATATAATTGTTCGGAGTAATATGGTAAATTCAATAATAAACCATGCGCAATTGGTTGATGGGATGCTTTGTTATTGGGTTTACCACTATTTACCACATTCAATCCCATCAAAATCCATCAATTATCATGATCTTAGCATTGATAATCCCAAAATTTACCACCAAGAAACCCATGAAAACATCCCTGGCTTCGCCCTGACCAACGCCTCAGAGGCTCGAAGGTAGGCTGCTTCCAGTTCCTCTCTCCCCTGAAGCGGGTTATGGCTTGGGCACGGTGCGATATGGCACAGTATGGATTGAAATTGATATCAGGGCTTGGCAAATGTCCTACTTTTGTAAACATCACCCAGCGATTTTTTTGGATATAATCTCTGACAAATACTTGAAAGTGATGTTGAAAATCCCCAAAACATGACATCTACGAATCCCTGTGACATGGATGGGGGAAAGTGCTGCCAAAAATTGCAAAGTTAGAGCCTTTCTGCTTGCAGAAAGCAATTTGAAGGGGGGAAAAAGGAAACAGAACACCCCCTCATCATCTGGAATAGGACCTGGTAGGCACCGATGATGCATCTCAAAGATCTGGCAATGCCAGCCCTGCGGACATCATGGACATGGCATTAAGCTTGCTGGCTCATTCTGGAATCAGCCACCCATCCTAGACATGTCAGTGAATCAGGGTTACAGTATGTCATACATGGTCAGATTTCATAACCGGAAATCATCAAAGATACCTACATTGTGGTTATATTAACTGGATAATCAAAGGCACCAACTGGCTGGCCACATGCAGTCCAACTAAGCAGGTGTCCTGTCACCAATCTCCCGGAAGAGATTCAGGGCATCCGACGCAGCCTGGTGGATCTTGGGACATCTTGGGATCTTGGAGTGTTTTTGTCTGAAAATTGGGTGCCCGATTTTCTCATGGTTATATCTGTTATATATATTATATATGGTTAAGAACTAGTGTCATCTTATCAGTCATCATGACTTATCATCAGTTACATGAGTTAAAAAATCCATTTTCTATGGGGGCCTCCCCCATGTTCAAACACACGTGTGATTCAGGTCACATCCAAGACATGCATGGCACAATACTTCAGCACTAGTCTCAGCTACTAAGCATCTGGCCCTCTCAGCTGCCTGCGACGTGTCGTTTTCAAAACGCTGGAGCCGCTGGCCAAACCCAATGCCATAAACCACCAAAAAAAGCAGAAATGAGTGGTAAAAAACATCTCCAAATGGTAGTTTTTTATGGCATTGGGATTTGCCTCGTTAGACACCGTTAGACCACATGAACACCACTGGAAACCATTGGATCCATTGGCAAACTGGGTGCTTTCCAGGTTCCGTGCCTGAAAGGCCTCTTCGTCAATAGCTTCTTCCGCTTCATTTAGGAGGCCTGTTGCCTGGACCAGGGCAGCAACATCCATTCCATGTCGTAGCAGTTGATCAACAAATGTGGCGACCTGAAAATGGAGTAGCACCCATTTCAATCTATGATCAGCATGTTTCCAGCGTTTTCCCCCTTCACACTTCAATAACTTGGGGTATAATGTTGGTAAAGCACTAGTAAACCATCCCCAAGTCATCACCATTTTCATGCTATGTTATATGTTTATATATGTTCACCATCACCAGTCATGGTGGTTATGGCTTATGGCCCTTGCATTGAAATCCACAGGACCTCCATCCTCCAACGTCACCCGCATCACCTGCGTACTGAGCCGCTCCCTGCTCTCGTCCAAAAAATCTGGCTGCCGGGCTGGTGCATCCTCGGCCTCGCGCGCGCACAGCGCATCACGCCGGAAAGTCATGGGATGATCCAATGGGAAAGATCCTCCCATGATTTCGCATGGAAAATGGATGAAAATGGGACATGTTGAACTAGAAATATTACAAATGTTCATAGGGAACATGGCGAAAAAACATGAAAAAACATGGTGATGTCAGCATATGTCAGCGCGAGTTGACCCACCTCTGCCAAATCGCAGAGGGAGATATTCCGCTTCACTACCTGGCAGCTGAGGCTCGCTGGGAATGATGCCTAGAATCTATTTTGGACTTGTTTGAGGCAAAATACAGAAGCATATGTTCAATTTGTCTATCAACTTAATCAATATTACAAACCTTGTGAATCTCCATTCCAGGCATGTCGTAGGGTGCCCGAGATTTGATGGGTTGATTCAAACGGCCGATTTTCCAACGGCGCCTTCTCTGCCGTGCGAGGAGACCGCAGTGGTCGAGGAGAAGCGAAGGGGGACCCGGAACGTGGGGCCATGGCAACTGAAAACCTGGCAGCTGGCACAGCTGGACTGGGCGCATCGCTGCTGGCATGGTAAATCCCATAAACCCCGATAAATTCATCATAATTCATCTATTTTGGGACCCAGAATGAACAAATCCGATATTAAAAGTAGGGTGACTGCAAGGTGAAGAGTCAAGCGGTTCCATGTTTCACTTCAAAACATCAGATCAGTGCCAGGTAGTCTGGCCTGCACTCAGCCAGAGGACATAACGTGGGGCGGGCCAGCCATTCAGCCTCCCACTCCCCTTAATAGCTGAGTCTGTTGATCCAACGTGCAACGATGTGTTGATGTCTTGGCCCCAGAACCAGTACCTTAGAATCTTCAGCCACGATGAATAAAATCCAACTTCATGGAGAAGGGGGGACCAATTCTTTCGTAGTAATTCATCGCTATTCTTCGAACCCCCCTAGAAATCCATTGAATGTTCAATCATCCTCAGTCGACAATGAGACAAAAGTTCATCCCTTAACAAACAGTCCCCCAAACACGCTTGGGGAAGACCCCCAGCAATAGCTAGATGTTTGTGTAGCCGGGGCTGGCAAATAGGTTTGTCTGAAAATAGGGCACCCTCAATGCCAATGGATTGTCATAACTTTCCCCATTAAAATTGGAATATATTTTAAGACACACCCAAAATTGCGCAACACGCAGCATTTTGTGTCACACCCGCTTTTGCTTTGTTCGCAATGGCATTACGAGGCCTCAGTTGGTCGCCCGCGAAAATCGGGTTGTCTGTTCCAACTGGTTGGTCGCTAAGCCAAGAAATCACCCAAAAAATGAATCGGATCATCATCAACCAATATCAACCACCAACCGTCGCGAGAAAAGACCAACTTGGAATTTTGCTTCGTTATCATGTCCCCATCTTTGTTGCTACCCCTCTGGTGGTCAAACCCGGAAATCTGAAATCCCATATGTTCAATGGCACGTCATCTGCGAATGGGTTTGTCTGAAAATAGGGCACCCAAAAAATCAAAAAAAATGTGGCTGGCTACTCATCGTTTTCCAATTTAAATCGGCGCTTGGTGATTTTACACCATTTTCGTACAGGCCCAACATAATTTTGATCTTGTTCGTTATTTGACTATTTAATGTTGTTGTTTTTTTAGCCCATCAATATCATCTCGAATTATCTCATGATTTGTGTTCTGCCATCTACACAGTCGGGACGGGACTGCCAGTGTCAGAAGGTCAACCAACTCGAGGCCCTAGCGTTCCGCCACCAATTCTTCGAAGGCTTCTTGTGAGAAACGATGACCTGGGATCGAGTGATGTGGTAGTCGTGACCCTGTGGCAATCCAGTGGTGCCCCGGTTCGTTGGCGAAATTGGTGAACTAAAGGTTAACCCCTAATATTGAACGCCCCGCGGAAACCATGGTTTTGTAGGAGATTGACAAATATGTGGGACCACTTAGGGGGTGTTTTACATTAGGGGGATAGGATTAAAGGTTAACTAGGGTTTATGGTGACGATAACTGTAGTTGGATGGGGTTATAACCAACTTACTCAACTTAGGACTAGAGGACAGCACCTTGGGGCCGTGGAATATCTTCATGTTCACCAAAGGTCATGTATAGTGAAGGGACATTCTTTCCATTCCTAGCTTGCTATACTCAATGATGAGTTTTGCTGTGGGAATACTAGCAAAACCTTCCCCAAAGCTAGGACCAAAAGGGGTCAACATAGATCAACCACCGCACATGTCGCTGAAACATCCCAGTTCCATCCAGTTCCATCCAGTTCCAGTGGGTTCCCATGGCTTCCCCTTGGGTCCCTGCGAACAGCTTCCCGTGCAGCTTCCGCAGTATCTAGGCGCTGCTTGGGGCCTCAGCCAGCTGGGAGGTGTTCCTTGAGCTGCTCAGCTGTGGCCTACTGCACCAATCTGGGGCCATGCGGTCAGAAATGATCAGAAATGATCAGAAATGATCAGAAATGATCAGAAATATATGAAAATATAACCTGAAATATCCTACACTATTCGCTCTATTCTCTTTCAAACCACTGATGCCACAGGACTGAAGATACTGAAGCGGCTTCCAGATGTTCGCTCAGTTTCTGGCCCATCTCGTTCAATGCCTCCATTAACTTCTTGGCATAGTCTTCATCATCCTTGATCTGGACACCCCGTGGAGCTGCAAGTGCGAATTCCCTTCAAATGTACTAGAGGCGAAACGGAAGATTGGTCGTTTGTGACTTCGAGTCCCCTCAAATCGAATTCTATGTGAATTTATGATTTCTGCTGTTCCAAGGAAAAGCTTCAAGAACCACAGACAACTCTGCGATGTTTCACCAATTTTGAAAGCTAAGCCCCAAACGTTGGCCAGCAATCCTGTCCTTCTGCCGTCTGGTAGAGGTGTCACCTGCAACCATCCATCTGATCATGACTTAGTTCGAGCTATATCATGTATGTGTATCTATCTATCTATCTATCTATCTATCCATCTATCTATCTATCTATCTAATTAATCTATCTATCTATCTATCTATCTATCCATCTATCTATCTAATCTATCTATCTATCTATCTATCTAATTAATCTATCTATCTAATTAATCTATCTATCTAATTAATCTATCTATCTAATTAATCTATCTATCTAATTAATCTGTCTATCTAATTAATCTATCTATCTATCTATCTATCTATCTATCTATCTAATTAATCTATCTATCTAATTAATCTATCTATCTAATTAATCTATCTATCTAATTAATCTATCTATCTAATGAATCTATCTGTCGAATTAATCTATCTATCTATCTAATTAATCTATCTATCTATTCCATCTATCTATCTATTTAATCTATTTAATATGTTTAGTCTGTTTAATCTATTTAATCTATCTATCTATCTATCTAATCTAATCTAATCTAATCTAATCTATCTATCTATCTATCTATCTATCTATCTATCTATCTCTGTGTGTGTGTATCATCTAAGATCTGCATCATTGAATGAAAATGTGCATATATATATAGTCATATATACATATATGTATATATAATTGTATGGCATATCATTATATATCATAGTATGCCTTTGACACTACCAACCAGCCATGACATCTGTCTGGTCGCCGCCCTGAGCTCCTCACAATGTCCATCGCCGGGCCAGCAGAGTTGTGCGCAATGACCACGGCCCCGGCAGCCATGAACTCCACCACGCTGATGCCGAAGTGTTCGTCACGCATGGTGTGCAAACCTGCACGATGGCTTTGCCGTAATGGTTGTGCATATATAGTTATATACTGGGGATGTTACATATACGTGTATATTACTACTGTGTGTCATACAATTCAGTCAAACTTGGAAGTCAGTGGGGATGTAATGTGGAAATATTGATGATACAATGGGGATATATTGGGGAAGTATGTTGGGAATATAGTGGTTATATTTTTTGCCGGGGCTATAAAAGGGCAACCACTTGCAAAGAACAACAAAAAACAAATGGTGGTTTTAAATTGTGACACCGGAAGCCCTCTAGGATGCCAAATTCAGGAATTAGTTTTTATGAGTTTTTACATTATTATTTTTATAAGATTTGAAGATATGAATTTGATTTGATACCACATCAAGAATCATAACTGAAACCATATCAAAATCAGAACTGAAAGCGTATCAAAATCATAACTGCAAAACCCGGCCAGAAACAATTCATAACAACAATTCATATCTGAATCATATCAAAATCATTATATAATTACAAAATATTACCAAAAAAATGAAAAAACTCTATCCTATTAGAGACTTCGGATGTCATATGTTTAAAACTTACCTGGTAATTCGCAAGGGATATAATTGATCGATATTCATGGAATAGAATTACAAACACAACACGGGGGCTTGTCCCAAAATGGGAGATACCCAAAAATACCCAAAATACCAAAAATAGAAATTTTGATGAGGAAACCGTATGGGATTTCAGGGTGCGAAATATTGTGACAAACCCACCTTCTCTCCGCACTTCCTCCTTTTGGGCTGCAAGCAAAAACCCGCAGAATTAAGAGGAATCCAAGCCCTGATGGTAGGGAAGTCGTGCTAGAAATGAGCTCCCACTGTTTGGCGGACACTGATGTAGGTGATCTTGCCTACATCAGCTTGTGCCAGCAGATTTTGCATCTCCTCGCACCAACACGAAAAACTCAGCACTTTTTGGGAAGCACTTCTGAGTGGGTCTGGAAAAGAATGGAAGAGACGATTCCCGAAGACTATTTGTTTCCAACTAGAAAGGAATCAGTTCGGGAATTCTCCGAATTTGGTACATACGAGTACCCATCTTGAAATGAGAAACAAACAAAGTTCGGGTATTCAGTGCTGAGACGAAACCCGCGTCCTCGAATGGCACATTCGTTCGGAAACTCACCTCAGTGTGGAGCTGAGCTAATGAGCTGCCGGAGCTGCTCTGCCAATGTCCCAAGATTTGAGGCTAGAAGCATCCCAGTCGCTGCCGCCTTGCTCCCGCAAGCCCAGCCTCGGGAACTTTCAAGAAATCTTCAGTTGGATCAAGCCATATGATGCTCCATGATATTTGAATCATTTTGAATCGCATCGCACTGCCATGGTTTACTAAGTTGAACAATGGTTGAATATGGTTGAATAATGGTTGAAGTGTTTGTGAAAGAAAATTACCTGGAGAAGCTGCAAGTTCCCATGACGTTCCACCCCTTTTCTTTACCTTTGGGCCCATGCTCCTTGCACAGCTGCTGCAATGCTTCCACCCTTGCGCGGTCACCAGCATCTCTGCCTGGCTGGTGGGTTTGATCATCCGAACTGGGATGAAGAAGTATACACGAGTGATCAATACATTTGAAACCACCTGCCCAGTGGTTCTGTTACCTTGTACTCAATTTTACTCAGGTGTCTGCTCAACGAGCGAATGAAAATGAGGACTGGTAGCTTGTGATGGCAGAAACTGAGACGGTCACATCCTCCGGCCAGAATCAGTCGTGCTCGGTCATTTTCACCTCGGATATGGGTTAGGGAGTCAGAACTGTAGGTGCAATGAAAGCTACAAAGTTGACCCTTTGAGCTCACAGAAACCATAAATGGCCAATCTATCTGGGGCTTCCACCAGCTGCGGCCTGCATCTGCAGATATCTCGAGAATGACCGAAGCCTCAAGGCATTGCCCTCACCAACGCCCTCTCCAGCGACTCTTCTTCTCATGGCTTCATCATGCAGTTTCCACTCATTTTTAAGGAGGCTACTTCATATTGGGGGCTGGGATTACCAAGTTACCAAGTTGATCCAATTCGCCCAACTGTTGACTTATTGAGTGTGGCAATCCCCTAGGTCTCAGACTGCAAAGCGTGGTTCTTCTCAGGTCTAAACCTGTAGCCAAGCAGCCAAGGGTGACCCTCAGGCAGGTCCATTTTACGAAATAAATATGGCATAATGGGTCAAAATTCTCAACGCCCAAAAATGGAATACTCAATGTGATGCGATACTAAAACGGCAAATAATGTGGGCTGATTGGTGCCCCAATCTTGGCCCATCCCCAAATTGTCTGACTGGGAGTGCGGCTGCGCCAGCGAGAGAACCAGCTTGCCAGGGAAGTCCTGACTTTAGTCCGTGCATCAGGTGCAGGGCCCATGGGACCATTACAATATCCAAATAAAATCAAGTAATCCTGGCAATGTCTAGCTATTATTAGCTATTCAGATTACCCTCTGGTAATTTAACATAGCTATTGAAAATGGCCATAGAAATAGTGAGTTTTCCCATGGAAAATGGTGATTTTCCATAGTTATGTAAATGTTTACCGGAGGGTATTCAGATTGGCTACATCCTCTTGACCATCTTGACCTTTGAATCTTTCACCGCCTTCTGGGCGCGCTCCAAAGGTAGCTCTGCCAACGCAGCCTGATCTCGCCATGAGTTGACTTTTCCAGTTTGGATGTCCTATGGATGTCCTCTGGTATTTGAACAGGTATGGGATTGGCATTACAATTATTGCAATTATTACAATTACATACAATTACTATAGCATCTGGATGTATGATGATGTATATGGGTATGACAGCCAATGTCTCAGCCCATGCTGAGGCCCAAGGCGGTGTCACAAGGTGGGTAGGTTGTGACTGTTCGTTCCGGCCTAGTTGTAGCATCAATACGGCTCGAATGACCTGGGGTTGGGTCAAACTTGGGTACTTTTATGATCTTACATAATATGCCCTCCAATGTGGTCGTTTTCGTATCAAGCATTATGAATTTGCTCAAACCATCCATATCAATCCATATCATCCATTTGTGGAATTTTTGACCCATCCCCACTTGTTAGTTCCGTTGACCACTGCATGAACTCAGCCTAACTCAGCCAGCGACATTTTCCACAGGGCGACGATGTGATTCCGTGTCCAGGAGGAGTTCACCAGAACCACCTTGCAGCCGCTGGGTGCCAGCTGCAGACAGCGCCATCACCCCGCATCACTGGGCCCCAAGGGCCCCAAGCCTCTGCAAAGCTCCTTGGTTTGTTGCAGCATTCAGCGAAGCAAAGAGGAGGGCATGATGAATACTCCACACGAAAACTGGTACGAGCGGCTAGAACTTGGATCGAAACTGGAAACAAAGAAAAATCTTGAACGGCCATGAATGAACACCATGAATTTACATTTGGAATTAGCGAGTGACAAGCGTAGGCCAGCACGCATGTCCCACGAATTGTTTGAATATGCCAGAATAAGTTTGAATATGTTTGAATGCGAAACAAGCCACCCAGCCAGCCCGTAAAGCATGGCAAAAAGTCTGTAGTATAGCCTGCACCGATGTGAAAGCTTGAAAGCCACGCCGAAACAAAGTCCAAACGTGAAGAAATTTCACAACTTCCCACGGATTGCTCATAGTTGCCATACCGGCATTTTTCAGCCGCACCATGATGCAAAGATATGCAGTGCATTGAACGCATGCCAGGCTGTCAGCTTTGCAGAAGATAGAAGCCATGAACCAGCTACTTTGGCATCGTTGCAAAGCCCACTTCCTCAAAGGAGCACCACCGTGAGCACCGTGCTAAGCACCACCGTGCACCGTGCTCAGCGGCGTTTGACACAGGCATCGATGGAATCGATGGATAAAGGTTAGGCTCCTGACTGCGATCTCGGACCTGCGAGCCCATCGGGCTGTTGAGTTATGTTGAGTTTTCAGTCTTGATGTTTGAATATTTTGAATTCGAAACAAATGACAAGAATGGACAAAATGAACATTTACCTTGAGTATACTTTGAGTTTCAATGATTTTTCATCCATTTCCTGAAGATTGATGAACCAAACTCACTCGTGGAGCATTTCATCCCACCTGTTCCAACATGTCTGTGGAGATCGTCGGATAATGCACGTAGCATCCAATTCGGCAGCCACCCAGCAAACTGAACAATGGCAAGGTGAAAGCATAGCCTGCCAGCTCCACTGCAACATATCGGCATTGGATTCTTCATATGCTGTATGTACTTTATTCATTTGTTCGTATTTATATTTGTGTATATGTAGTATGTGCTGTTGTGTATGTATATATGGCTATATTATATATTTATTATATTTATACTCATATATATATATATTATTATTGTATCTAAATATATGCATGTGTCCATGTATGCTGTGCATTTTTGTGTATAGATATGACGGGTCATATATCTATATATAGAATTCTGTGTGTACGTGCGCATTTCTATTTGTGCATTTAAAACTATATGAATACTATGCACGTGCTTATAGGTTTATAATGATATCTTTTATAGATATACATAAAAATCGGAAACCGCCCATCATCATCACCCATCAATCAATTCATGACAGGATGACCCATGGAGTCAACGAAGATCTCCGGCCGAAATTGGCAAAGAGCTTCCCATCCTTCACAGCCGTGCATCACCACAAATGCAGTGACCCCAGCGACTGGGCAGCCCGGCCAAGCACCAAAGATCCAAGGCCTGGGAAATGATTTCTGTGCTCTGAAAAGGCATCTGTCGTCATCTATCGTTATCTCGTCATATCTCGTCTGTGACTGACTTTGAGCCCCGGTCTTTGACCAATCAGAGTGAAGCGCGGCCTTAGAGCAAACTCGCATGGCAGGAAGATGCAGGGTGGATCACGGGTGTCCAAAGCGAGGCCCCTGCCACGATGAAGCATCCACCCATCGTCTGCAGCTGAGGAAGACGAAGCGGACACCTGGCCATCGGCAGACTGATCACACAAAAGCTTGACCCAAACGTGGCCAAGCGAATCAAGTGTGAGGAATCCGGAATACTCCTAAAACCTCTAGACCTCTAGACCTCTGGCAAATCCGGAGGCTCTCACCCCCCCATCCATGGACCATTCAACATTCACCTTTTTTGACTTAACCTGGACCTACACCTTGGATCAGCTTGGTTGATGGACAGCCTTGGACTACAGCCTTGCCTTTGCTGTCAATGTCCACTCCAAAGCGCTTCTTCGCCTACGAAAGCGCTTACCAGGGCTTACCACACACAGCTCACAGCAGATGAACTTCAATCTCCATTGGAGTCTGACCTGCAGTAAGAGCTCGGAAGGTGTCACGTCCATATCCCCTGTGTACACAACACAAATCACCTCAGCTGCAAGCATCACGCTTCTCCGATTCAGCGGAATGATATCTTTAAAGCTTTGAACTGATGGCATCTACAGTCAGGCGCAGGCTTCTGGATACCTCTGCTGCACCGAGCGGATTGAACACCTGGCCAGTTCCAGTGTGGATCAGGTTGGATCAGGTTGGATCAGGTTGCGCCAAGCAACTTGAGGGCTTTGCATAGTTTCAAGACGTAAACTTTGCCCGCAGGGCCAAAGCACTCGTTCACCTCCTCCCCCCGCATGAGCATAAGGATGGAAGAAGGCCTTCAAGAATGGAGTGGTTTGTGGAAAATGTTACAGTGAACGCCCTGGTTTTAATCCCTAAGTACAATGGTTTGCCGTATGTAGACTTTCCATGACTTTCCCATGACCCAGTTCTGTGACTTCAAAAATCTTTGGCTGCAACCGTCTGGCTGTATTTACGGGCCTTCGCAGGACCTCAGGGCAGCTGCCCTGAATTCAATTCTCAGGACCCGGCCACTGTTTCTCTTCCTGCCAGTTCCTGAACATACAATTATATACTTATCTTCCAAAAAGATCAAGCTGAAGAAACAGTCAAACTATTCTTGGGAAATTGCTTAATTACATCATTGCCTTGCCAATGGGCGACTGCGCTGCAAGGTACTGTGCTCGAAGCCGAAGCCTTGGTAGTTCAAGGGGGGAGGAACCTGTAGACCATCAATTGCACATGTTTTACGATCAAAATGTGGTTCTTACATGTTCTTACCACTTAACCAAAACTGGCAGATATTCCCCCTAAAGTACCAATTCTGGGATAGATGACCTTGAGATGCAACTGGGTCCCACGCAGAAAGACCAGAAGGACTGGGAGCAGGGCGAGCAGGGCCAAAAAACCTTGCAAGGTGGCTGTCTCTACGGGATCCATATCGCCCAAACAATTTCAAGAATTCTATAAGGGATCTGCAGGGCTCACCAAATCTCACCAATTAATACATCACTTACCCTCTGGTAATTTAACATAGACCCTGGCAGTCATCGGGGTTGGAAGACTATTTTCCATTAAAAATTGGTGATTTTCAGGGTCTATGTTTGTATACCAGAGGGTACCTCATCAAAGACGTCATCCAGTCATTCTCCGAGATCCGAGTATCACCAGTGTGTGTGTGTGTTTGCGCGCGTCCTCTCTGGCTGGCACATCCGCTAGATCCGTGATTTTTTTCCAACAGAAACCAGGCATGACTTGTGCAAAATCTCTCCTTCAAAAAGCCGCTCTATTTTCCTGAAGTGCGGGCATAGGAAATAGAGAAGCATGGCTCAGCTTGGAGTCTAGTGTCTTTCCACTGGCTGTGTCTCACAATGATTGCATGCAGCCTTCAAAAAACACACAACCTGCCTCTGCTGGGCTACTTTTCTCTGTCAGCCTCATGTTTTAGAGGCCCAAATTGTCGATTCTAGCTCATATCGTCCAACAGACTACTTGGCAAAGTGCATGGTGCTTAAAAAATCCTTTTCTTTCCTATGCTTTGCTGGCAACCGGGGAGTTCAGACGAGGGGCCTCAGTCCTAACTGCGATGCAAGCCATTGATCCAGTGGCAAGGCACAGAGCGAGCTTATGCGAGCATTGGCACTGGGACTTCTTGGATTGTCCGTGTGGAGAACATAAAAGATGAATCAGACATCACAAGACATCATGTCGGCACAAACTTCTTGAAAAATCAACTGACATCACTTGGTAGATCGGCTGAAGTGAACACTCATTTTGCCACATCGCCGTCAAAGCTTCAGCCTCAGCGGTCTGTGTGGGAGACGGTGCCTTTGAGGCAATCCAGAAACAAAGTCTTTGTATAGATTGATTCTATTGGATACTGCCATACATGTCCCGTGTTTACGGCTTAAGAACAGGCACCGTTTTCACTTGTGCATATATATAGAGAGGAACAGAGCCTCGACCAGTTTCGCCCTGCCAAATGTGCAACCTCTAACAGCATTTGAAGTCTTTGAGCTAGAAGCTGGCACTCATGACAGAGACGCGAACCTGCCAACGAGGATCAAATCCGCTGGAAAACGACTAAAGACGGGGCAGCGAATTCTAAGAAGAGCTGGCTACCGCACAAGAACAGTTGTTAATGATATGACCCTGAGATTGGGGTACACTCTTGGAAAATGTCCTGCTGACATGTGGTTGGCACTCCATAAAATCATGCCAATTGCACGTGTCTGCCGGCATTCTCTGTGTTCTGCAGTGATTGCCTTGGCTGATTTCTTTGTCTCCTGCTAGGTTGCAGATTGTGATCGCAGGGTTGCACGCCCTGGCTGCATTAGAGACTTGGTCAACTGGACAGACTGGGCCCTCGGCAAAATCATCTTGGCAGCAACCTGACTTTACGACTTTCGGACGTGTTTCTTCGATCAAATTCATTGGTCACGGAAGATGGGGTTTCCTCAGATCCACCATAGGAATTTTCAGACAATGCCATGGCTTTCAGGGTGGAAGGTTGGGACATGCAGTGTGCATCCTTGACCCTTACCCTAGTCTGAATCTGGGGTCTGCAACATCTGGCGTAATGTGCTGCACCGCTGACCTGTCGGAGAATCTGAATCGATAACAAGGACGACTTTTGGGGGACTGGCGTTGAGCGTCAACTGGCTCAAATGCTGGGCCGTGGTGCCCCTGAAAAAAAAAACAGGAAAAAGAATGATGCCCAACAATTCACAATTCTCGCAGTTCAATTAGACATGTTTAGACTATGGCGCTATCAACCCTCTTAGGCGACTTGAAATGAACATCCCAGAACCTGTGTCTGAGCTCGCCCCTAAATGTGGCCCTTGTAGCTTTGGGAGGAGCCAATCAAGCCAGCTGAACGATTGTGTCATGGTGCTGCCCTGGCCCAGGAAAAAGCAGCACCACCACGCATCAATTAGAGCGTTCTCTGGGTGGCTTTAGAGTCTTTAGAATATTAAGCTCGTTGTCTATCCATCCGTCCGTCCGTTCGTCCGTTCATCCATCTGTGTGCACATATCCATCAAGGCATTTTGCCGCCTGCGTCACCACTGCATCATAGGCGAACAGAGACCCCGCGGACTTTGCCTGACCTGCAGACTGCTTTCCAGGTCCCAAATGCTCTCGCCGGAGATCACGTCCCACATCATCCGCGCATGTCGAATGGAAGCTACTGCTGGCAGTGCCTGAGATGCTGATGACCAGCAGCTGGGGATGACGTTGTTTCAAGGCCTGAGCAACTGTAGAAGGCGGAGCAAATGAAGCTCAAGAAAAAAACACGTCGAAAATGTCAAAGAGTCGGTGCAGATCATTTTGACGGAACGAATATTCCAATGCCTTGCCCAGTCCAACACGTTCCGCCGTGTTTGCCCTGCCAGGTGGGCCAACTGGATTCGAAGATCTGTTCTGCGAATCAGTAGTAAGTTAGTAGTGATTATGTTTCTCTGAGTGTTTTATAGTGTTTTCCTGAAATCTGATTGCATCACCAAAAGCCCTGCTGCTGTGCACTTTTTGCGTAACAGCTCCATGGTGCTCGCTTGAAAGTCGCCCGGCTGGAAGGGATTCCTCGGGTCCTCTCAGAACACGAGCTTCCGGAGCTTCGGCAGCCGGCTTCACGAGCCTTGAGCCTTGGTGAAGTGCTCGATGAAAAGGCTACATGGCCTACATGGCCTACATGGCCTACATGGCTACATCTTCCTGGTTACCTTTCTATCAACAAGCATCCCAGTATCTGATCCACCTGTCTCTATCGCCGTTTCAAGGAGTATAGCAGGGCTAAAGGCGAGGAAGGTACATCCCGATCACCTCTCTTTAAGTAGATTTCGTAGGTGCTGATGAATGATTGTAAACATATCACAACCAAACTTCTGGAGGCCAATCGCGTTCACAAATGCCAACCATTGCCTCATTGACCTGCAATTCTTCAGGGCCTGCCTCGGGAAAGCAAGGCTTGAGACCCAGGCTCTGCGTCGCGCTGCTTCTCGAGCTAGTGTCCGATTTTCCGACTGCCTATTGAGGATCGCATGGGCCACCTAAGACACCAGTTGCGGATTTTCTCGGTCTATTTTGGCCAAGCGGGTTCAACGTCTCAAGCAGCAAGTTGAGAAAATGCACTGGGGTCATGACATCTTTAAGAAATGCAGATTTGAGCAAGCTGCTGTGTTCCTGCCACCAGCTTGCAGAGTCAAAGGGAAGGAATCAGCGAGAAATTCTCTGCGTTGTGCAAGCACCGTAAATGCCCCAACTAAGTGGTCTCCAGGCCACAGAAAGTACATCTGGAAAGATCAGTTGGACAGAACAAAGTTGATTATGTTGATTGTAGAATCTGTGATGCACGGGTGGACTTGCAGTCTACGTCGCAAGTTGGCCGAATCACCAGCCTTCATGACTTTTTGCGCCAGAGGAGTCTCTGCGTTTTGCTGCACCTTGCCGCAGCAGCAGCTGCAATCTGTGAATCTGTAGGTCACTCGGTATGGCGCCCCGCCTGCTCGGCTTGAGCGTGGTCAGCCTCTGCGTTTTCCTGCACCTTGCCGCAGCAGCAGCTGCAATCTGTGAATCTGTAGGTCACTCGGTATGGCGCCCCGCCTGCTCGACTTGAGCGTAGTCAGCCTCTGCGTTTTCCTGCACCTTGCCGCAGCAGCAGCTGCAATCTGTGAATCTGTAGGTCACTCGGTATGGCGCCCCGCCTGCTCGGTTTGAGCGTCGTCAGCCTCTGCGTTTTCCTGCACCTTGCCGCAGCAGCAGCTGCAATCTGTGAATCTGTAGGTCACTCGGTATGGCGCCCCGCCTGCTCAGTTTGAGCGTGGTCAGCCTCTGCGTTTTCCTGCACCTTGCCGCAGCAGCAGCTGCAATCTGTGAATCTGTAGGTCACTCGGTATGGCGCCCCGCCTGCTCGGCTTGAGCGTGGTCAGCCTCTGCGTTTTCCTGCACCTTGCCGCAGCAGCAGCTGCAATCTGTGAATCTGTAGGTCACTCGGTATGGCGCCCCGCCTGCTCGGTTTGAGCTTGGTCAGCTACATCACCTACATCTAAACTGTGCAGGCCTTGGTGCAGGAAAGTATAGCGAGGGCGATGCAGAAGAAACTGGGAAAACGCATGAATTCCAACGGTACGCCCCCAAAACGCAACCGGGCAATTGAGAACCCTCGATGTTTGGCATCTAATCTTTCATACAAACACAGATGTGCATATGCATATATATATATATGTATATATATATATGTATATATATATACATACATATGTGTATATATATATATATGTGCGTGTGTGTGTATGCATGCATGCATGTATGTGTCAATGTGTGTGTGTGTTATTATATGCGTGTATGTATATATGTATATATGTATATAATAATATAATAATAGTAATAACAACAATGTCCAGTCATATTGATGTTCAAAGACAACACATCTCCTGCCTCGAGGACCAGAGCGCTGCATGTTGTTCTGAAGCAAGGAAAGAGACTCAGATGCGCTGCGCAAAGGCGGACAATATCCCAAGCAACTCCGAGTGATTCCTTCGCAATGGTTGTAATATGTTGTAATGCTAAAAATGGAGTCAAAGCAAGAAGCTACCCAAATCATCCTAAACCTGTGCGCTTTCACAGTTTTCACACACCACTTCTCCAAGGTCGAGCAACACAATCCTTGTCACTCTCGGCGGCGCTCTCCGCAAATTCCTGCCCAACATGATCGATTGCCCGCACCCCGGCTTTGGACAAAGACCGTTTCATCTCTGGCCAGAAACAAGTGAAAGTATCTCATTGACTCTCGAACAAGAAGTGAAAGTAGCCACCCAGAGACAACCGTCACTCTGGCCTCAACGGCCACACCCAACGCCAAAACCTTGGTTTGAGGCAATCTATGATGGAGTCTATTACTAACAATTACTAACACATCATACATGTACATTATATATATATACACCTTTGAGATTATACTTTAACTTACATTTATATTTATACTTATATAATTATATATATATTTACAATACTTATTTTCATTTTTATTTATTCATTTGTTCATTTGTTTTGTAGATGTAATGTACATATTCAAGTTCTCAGGCTTTGGTGCTGGGACCTATTGAGTTGAAGATGCCAAGAATAAGTACAGGTTCTGGTGAAGACATACGCCTATTCTATGGCACCAAAATTCGCTATCTTGAGGCTCCCGCTAGTAGCAAAACACGGAAAGTCATTCGGTCACCAGCTGCAAAAGTACCTTGCATGGTCAAGAGTCAAGAACCCTCCGCCCAGGTTGGGCCAAAAAAAACCTCTTGACCCATGGCCACGCTCTGCACAGCTTAAGAGCCGTACGATGCCAGGAAATGTAGATCGCTGGAACTACGTCAACGATTGAGCCAAACACAGCCACAGGCGTATGAAATCCAAAGAGAGTGCCACAAACAGACATAAGGAACGGATTGCTGGTTGGCAGTTGTTCGAATCTTGTTCTCACACCTGGAAGGAACACATGAAATATTCCACTTGTCAAGACAAGTCAAAGATCAAAGCATTTCGTGCATATGGGCCTGAAACTATGGATCAAACACTGGGACTTGGTCAAGATCTCGTCCAAAGCCTTGGCCACTGGGGCAAGTGGGCAAATGCTGTAAATGCCTTACAGCCAAGCAGGCGCTTGGGTGAGCACTCGCTGATTCTGCGCGAAGCGGAGGTCCAAAGCCAAAGGTTGGGGAAGCAGTTGCCAGTCACCGCACTTCTGCCTCTGCAAACTGTTCGGGCACAGATGGTCGGCCTAGTGGGCAATGTTAAAGATCTGCTAGAGCATGAACCACCCATCTTTGGATGGTTTTTACAACCCATGTAAGGTAAAAGTGGGGATGGTGGATCCTCTTGATTACCAGCTGTCGCAAATTTCAAGCTCCTGACATTTGCACAAGCTGCGTCGCCTCCTCACCTGACAGCGCACGATTGGTTTGAGGAGGCGAAGGGCGGGCCTTCCGAAACCTGTCCATTTGCCATCAAACGGGTCTGAAAATTTTGGATACACATTTTATGGAAAATGATGGGCCATTGGATTTGGGGATACCGGGCTACCGGTACATACCGGTACCCTATTTTCAGACTAACCCCAAATGCCATCTTTGATGCCTGGACGTGGGCATCGAATGAACAACACGGAGTCACTGAGATGTCAACATGTTGCTTCCCCGGCCGAATCTGGCCTGAGATTCCAGTGCTCTTTGTTTGGTGAGGCGGTGCCGTGCTGCGGAAGAGGCGGATCCATGAAGGAATGTTGCTAAGTCAACACTGGATCTACATTCGCTGACTCTCTCTCTCTCTCTGTGTTGAATAATGTTGAATACAGTATTCTCAGCCCAGCACTGAATCTTCAGAACCTAGCCGCACAAACCCACATTAATGTGACATTAGCACAAACTCACTGCTATGCTCTTGACATGTTGCCTTTCCGCTTGACTCGCCGGCCTGCGCACCCTGACTGACCAAGGCAGCTGCAGAGAAGGGCCCGGCTGGTAGCAAGCAAGCATCCACCTCGCAAAGCAACTTGGTTGGGACGAGAATTCAGAATAGAACAAAGATGAACAAAGAGTAATCATCATACATCCTTGTTTGTTGTTTGCTCTGCAATTTGATTTGAATGATGAGAAACCATGGGGTCCAATTGGGTTCCAAACTTTTGAGATACCCCAAACCACATCCAACCAGGATGAATCGTACTACTGGTACCTGGATTTAAGCCCACAAGATGGAGAAAGGATATCATCAACCCTTCTTGAAACGTAGCTATGAAAAATCATCATGTTTAAATGGGCCGTTTCCCATAGATATGTTAAGTGACCGGAGCTATTTCACCCCAACCACGCTGCGCATCATTTCTTCGTCCCCTTTTTTGCAGATTGGGTTCCTGGCGATGTAAACCCCTGCGAGTAGTGAGCCTGGCAGGGTCAGGGTATGTCAGGGTCCGTGTTGATCCATGTTGATACAAACTCCGTCACGATATGACACACATGGCTTTTAGCATTTTTGATGACCTCCAAATCCATGGATTCGGGGTGACATTCCCTGTTGGCTGTGTGCCCTTTGGGCGGCTGCCAGGGCATCTCACACTGCAGTCGCACAAAATTGACCAAAGTAAACTCCCAAAGTCCTCGCACCTTAAACTGTTTAAGCATCTATGTATACATATATACACACACACATATATATATATATATAGTTGCCACGTTTTAGTATGTGGTTATGTTGTGATCCCTGTCTCTTTTTTATGGACTTTTACATGTGTATATATAGAGCTAGATATATTATATTCTGCACAAATATACCCAAAAGAAAAACAAAGCCAGCGCAGGGTTAGTAACATTTTGCTACTCCCTGCACTCTCGCACATAAGCGAACTATGTATAACATCGTAGGTCAAAAAGGAAAGCAAATCAGATTCAAGACGGGCTGAATGCGCTGCAAAACAGCCATTTGCCAAAATCAATGTGTTTTCCGCTAATTCATCTCCGCCATCAGAGCATCTGGAGGTCATAGTGCCACAAAACATCATCATCATCATCATCATCCTCCTCCGTGCCCTTCACAATAGCTTCGTTAGTTGCATTGCAAAGCTGGCGCAGCATCTGTGCGGTCTCTTGATAGGCCGTCGTACCAGGTTCCAAGCCCTCAGTCATGGACCAAAGCAATCAAAGAATGAACAAAGAATGAACTCATTCATATGCTATACGCCATTTTCCCCGAAACAAACGGGTCTCATGGATTTACCCTTATTAATCTCACTGTAGTATGTGCAAAGATACCCAGTGTTGCAAATGCAATTGAATCAAATGAAACATGCCATGGCTGCAATCAAAAGGCGCCCCTTTTTGCTGATATCTCGGCCCAGTGCACTGCGGTGCATACATGCTGATGCTATGAGACCAAGGACATTCGGCTGGAATTTCACACTCATCTTTGTTTTTGGACTTGGTCTCTGTGCTGCATTTCTCGTAGCATTGCATATGGATGCTGGAGCCATAGGTGGAGCATTTGCATCAGTCTTGACGATGTTTTCGTCAATCCATCAGCCCACATCAGGTCAGTTGGTACCCAATGCGTATTGTCTCTGGTGATGTACTGTTGAATGCTCCTCACTGAAATGATGGTTCGCTTGTCATCTACTGAAGGGTTTTCAGCAACGATACTGTCGTATAATGACTTGCAATCCGTCACTTGCAGCATCCGCAATGGCTTGGAGATCTTGAAGGAGGCTGTTCTCTGGAGGATTTCGGAGAGCATGAGGTTGACAAAGCTGGATCGATCCACTGATGAATCTGCAGCGCTTGCTTCGGCTGCCAAGGTGCTTCGGCAAACACGGCCCGACCTTGAGCTCTTCCAATCCACCAGGCATGCAGGAGAGGCCACATCTGTCGCCTTCGCATCTGCAAACAAAATGAGACACCCATGTTGCGATGCGTAGTTCTCCGCATTGGCCCAAGAAGAATCCGCATAGGTGATGACCAAGGTGGAGTCATCTATTGCAGCTGGGTTCATGGTGAAGCCTTTGTCACTGGTCTTCCACAAGTGATCCACGGCTTCATACATCGCAGCCAGGTCTGCATAGGTCGCCTTGCCGCCTTTGCTATGAAGACTGACTGTCGCCGCCACATCAGGACGAGTCTGTCCTGCGACCCATTGAAGGCTTCCTGCCACTGAACGGTATTCAGGGAAATCGTCTTGTTTCAAAACTTCAGTTTTCTTTCCCTGGATGTTGCCGCTCTTGAAGGCCTGGATAAACTTCTCCTGCTTCAAGTCAAGGACATATTGTTGCCTCTCATTGTCATAGCGCAGGTGAATCTCCTTGCCTTTGAACTCCAATGGCTGGTCTGTGGTCAGCGTGTTTTGCGAACCCCAACTGAAAAGGCTAAGCAGATCTTTCTTGTTGAAGTGGTCTGAAAATGTGACCAAAAAGTCATCCACATAGACCACGGCGACAGCTACCAAAATCTCTTCAGCAAATCCCTTGACCTTCTTGTACAAAAAGAAAAGCATCTTGTCAAGTGAGTGCTGAATCCACCCGCTAGCTTTCAAACACTTGCAAACATGCATGGTCCATGTTCTTGGTGCTGATGCTAAACCATAGATGCTAAACCATAGATGTTCCCCTTGACAAGGTACAAGGGTGCAGTGAAAACTTCTGCAAGAATGCTAATCTGGTCTCTTGGTGGTGCCAGATACAAGGGCTCATCTCGAGGATCTGGTTCCCCTTGGAGGAAGGCGGTTTTGACATCGCCACACCAAAGATACCAAACTGCACCATCGCGGTTCATCTTCCTGTTTCGGCCAGAAATGAAAATGGCATAAACCAACATCTCTGACTGCCGCAATGGAGTAGCACTCTCGCGGACCAAGGTGTAAAGGTCAGGGTCCAAGCAACCCAAAGCCACAACTCGAGCTTTCGCTCGGAGGGGTCCACATCCTTTGGCTTTGTCTCGATACGCTGCACGGGATCGAAGGACTCGTTTGCGACCCTTCGCTGTGGACATGATTTGATCTGCAGTCTTCTGGTCAATTGGCTCAACAGAACCAAATCTCATCCAAGACTTCTCCTCATCCTGTGCCGCTTTGACAAACTCAGCCAGGTAGTCGCCACCCTTTTCAACGATCACACGCCAAGGTAATTCTTTGTCAAGGGCTTTTTGTTGTTGGCGTGTCAGTGGAGATAGCTGAGGCTTGGAGCTGGACATGTCTTCCTGTGAGGCGTCTGAGTCATCACTCATTCCATCACCTTGGTATTCGGCACTTGCTTTGTATGCCTTAAAGCATGTTGTTGATGCATATGGCATGTAGATGTCTGTTGTGCCGTCGAAGTGCTTGTTGTTGAGTGTGATGCCTTCGTCTGACATCTGCATGGGTGCTTGCTGTGCTGTACGGAATGCTCTGCAGTGCTTGGGGCTTGTATGCTGTTGAATTCCAACCACCGTGTTGGCGGTCTGCATGCTGTAAAAGTCTGTGCTTGTCACATTGTTTGCTGTAAGGGCAGAGTGTGACTTCTCTGCCGGCTGTGCTGGTTCTATTGCCGACGCTGCTGCGCTGGCTTGTTGTGCTTGCTCTGGCATGTCTCGTTTGCGTGTTGCATCAGGCAAAGGCTCGCCTGGTCGTTTGTCTTGTCTTTGTCGGCTTGTGTCAGAGCTGGCTGTTGCTCTTTGTTGGTGTGCCTGTTGTGCCAGAGCTTCAGGTGTTGTTGGGACCTGTTGTCCTAGCTCTGGTTCTGTGTCTGAGATCTCAACTGTCTCTGTGTGTTCTGCCGGTACTGCTGGCAGTGGAGGTGTGTCTGCTCCAGTGCCGGTTGCTGGTGTGTTGTGTGCATGCTGTTGTTCATCTCGTATGTTCGGTGTTGCTCTGTTAGGTGTACGTGAGCGTGCTGCTCGACGCACTGGTGTTCGAACAGTTGGCCGTCTCAACTGTTCTGCTGTCATGCCAAAAGTGTTGTTCTGCTGCTGCTGTAAAATGTTCTGTTGATTGTATGTTGGGGATGTGACTTCTATTGTGATATGTTGATGTTGCTGGGTTACTGACTGTGATTGTTGTATGTTTGGCAGTTGAGGTTGTATGAATCCTTGATCCGGTTGCACTGAATCAGGTTGTTGTCGTACTTGAGAAAGTTGTTCAAGTAGTGGATCTGGTACTGGAGTAAAGACTGGTGGCATGAAGTCTGGTTCGACTTCTTTGAGGTTGTCATCGTTGCCAAGCTCTTGATATGGATCATCGGCCACGGGCAACGTCTCATCTTCAAAGATGCCCTTCTTGATGTTGTCAGAGGCTGTTCTAAGGGCACGAAGATCAGCAGGATCGGGGTGCCATGCCTCAAAGCCATAGGCCTTTCTGGCCTGCTCTCGGGCCAACTTGATGGTGTTGGTGCCAGACTGAACCCAAAGGGACTTGCCATCTGGATCGAAGCCCAGCATTCGGGCCAGTTTATAGCCACCTCTTTTGCGGCCGCTTCGTGCAGTCCACCTCCAATATGCCAAGGTGTCACCAATGACATACTCATCCTCAGGAGTTGGCTTTGCCTTTCGCAGCAGTGATCGTCGAAACGATGAGTCCACATTCATGGCAGCAATCTGCTGTTGGGCTTCTGCACGGAGACTGTCGGCCAGCTGCTGCATGTGCTCACGAGTGCCGCCAGTTGCCAAACCATGCTGATCTGACAAAAGGTCCAAGCCTCCATGTCGAGGAATTCTGCCAAAAGCTGCAATGAACGGAGGACGTCCACTTGACCACGTGCAGGCATTCTTTGAGAACGTGGTGGCAGCTATGGCTTGCTCCATCTGCTCAGGGCCAACGATCCCATGTGCATCGATGATGCGTTCCGCAATGGATCGCAAGGTGGCATTGTGGCGTTCCACCAGGCCCATTCTATAGTGTGCCTCTGGTGGCACATAGTCCGTAAAGGTTCCTGTAGTGTCGAGATACTCTTCGAAGGCTCCTCGGAAACTGCCATCAGCGTCCAACCGGCAGACCAAAGGAAAACCAAAAGGTTGAGCCCATGTTCGAATGAACTGCCGAGTGATCTCTTCAGGAAACCTGGACTCCAAAAGACATGCTTGATGCAGATGGGTGCACTCGTCAATGATTCCAAGGACTGGGTAATTGTTACCTGCGACGTCCCTGATATAGACGATGTCCAACTGGATCTCGTCTGCAAACTGTCTGAAGTTGGATCGAGGCATAGATGCTGGAGCTGGCTTTGTTGGTGGTCTTGTCCGCAAACATGATGCGCAAACCAAATCATCTACAGCTGACAGCACCTTCTGGCTCGAAATGCCATTCATGGCCATCAACTTCTTTAGCTCTGTTGATGGTGGGCGTCCAAGATTCCGATGCATCCGTGCGACCAAAGTCTTCAGGTCGGCACCGTAGTTGATGGAATTCTTGAAGGTGATGTCGGAATCTCTGATGTCTGCCCGCTTCAAAGGGTCATCTTCAGGATGTGGTGGTCCTGGTGCAGGTTGGGAAGGTTCTGGCAGTTGATCTGGTGACAGGGCCATACCAAACCAAAATATGCCGATGTTCACTGGCTTGTGGAATCTGCCCTTGGGAAATCTAAGGTCACCAAGGTCTTCAGAGACGATCTGTCTCGTTCCATCGTTGTATAGCAAGGCTGAACCCCTGTGGGTATGCGGCACATGTGTTGGAAAACGGTGCAATGCAGGTTGGAGAGCAAGTTGAATCCGCTCAATGCTGTGCCAGGGAACCAACTTCTCAATCTCACGCCACAGTGGATCAGAGTGTGAAAGCACAATTGTCTTGTGAGAGGTCCTTCTGAACAGTGCCTCAGTGGAGTCGAAGATGTTCTGCCATTTGTCTAGGTCCTCATCAACGTTGAAGTTGTCAACAGCAAAAGCTATAAACTCTTGTGGTGGTTGATGGAAACGTCCAGGGTCAACTTCAAACGCTGTCTTGTAGAGGCCGTCGACAATGGCTTCGACCAATCCGGGGCAGTACTCCTGACTCAACGTGGTCTCATGGCCTTGAAGTGGCACACAGTGTCGTTGATCTTCAGGAGATAGCCGCTCTTGTACTAGATCAAGTACATGTGGGCAATTCCCAGCAAACTTGTGACCTTTTCGGATCATCTGGCCTTTGGAGTTAGTCGCTCCATAGGCTCCAGCATGACATGTCACCATGTGTGATGTTGATCTTTCAAGCAATCGTCGCAAGGAAGGTTCATCCCACAGTCTGCTCCTTTCAGGGTTTTCGATCAGCCAGAAACGACCGTCACGATCTTGTTGCTCGCACCATTTGACGATCTTTTCGATCATGGGTCTGACCTCAGCTCGCCAGGCTGCAAGCTCATCTGGTCTGTTGACATAGTTGGTGTTGTCCTGAAGCAATGTCCAAGGTCTGCAGTCAATTTCATTCAAAAGCAGCAGAGGTCGATGTAGATCAATGGCTTCTTGAACCTGCTTCTGACATTTTCGGTCTGCCAAGTCAAAGCCGGTGTTGTAGTCCACAGGCATCAAGGTCTTGAGACCCCATCTCGAGGCCAGCTTGCTGACATTGGCAGAACCTGCAAAAGTCTCCAAGAGGTCAACCTTGGAAATCTTGGTGCGAGGCTTCTGACTGGACATCATCACATTCTCGATGTTGTGAAGATGTATCGCATGACGAAGTCGTTGCAGCAAACCTCGTTTTGTTGCATTGGTCAGTGAGCATGGAGTCTTGTCCTTGAACTTGAAGATGGTTCGTCCGGTCCAAGGCTCTGAGGACTGCTGTCTGGACCCTGTTGTCCAGTTATATCGCACCACCTCAGTATTGCCATCATGCAGCTGCATCTCAACCACGCAAACATGTTGAAGGCGATGGAGAGGGACAGGACATTCTGAATCATATGGGTCAAAGAGCTGGCACCGCGGCTCCACGTGATGCCTTATACAAGCTCCAGGTGTGATCTCCCAATGATCATTCATAGGCTTCCCTCCCAGTCGTACGGATCGTCCTGGTACTCGTCCTGGTAAGGGTCGTTGTCTTCCGAATCGATTGGCATATGGCTCATCGCAAGTTCCCACTCGTCCTGGGGCATTCCAGCTTCTTCCCATGGTGTGAGCTCCTGGCTGGAAGTTCTCGGCCTCCTCGACGATGGTTTGACCTTGGGCGTGGAACCCTTGGTCGATTTGCCCTTGCTCCGGCCCTTGGCTGGCAGGATATTCGAAGGAGATGGCAGTGGCAACTGCGATGAGGGCCGTGACGACTGCTCTCCAAATTGTTCCCATCCTTGAAGGTCGGTGTTGAACTTGAAAGTCTGGCGGCATTGCAGACACTGGCTGTACCTGCCCGACTTGTTGCCATACCTTCGGAACTCTGGATGGGTGCACAGAGCTGGCAAGGGACGTACTCGCTCCTGCCTGGTCATTCGGTCCTCCTCCATCATGAGTTGCTGCTCCAACATGGTGAGCCATGTTCTCGGTGCCAGTCCCATGCCCACCATCCTGCTCATACTGCGCAAGGTGCGGAGGAAGAGGGTCATCATCCGCTTCACCAGTCGTCTCCAACGAATCAGCCATTCTGGAGGAACGTTCGTGGAGTTCATCGGCTGGGCTTTTGATTGGAAGATCTTGTGCAACAGGTGCTGCAATGATCACTTCCGGGTCAGGTGCCATCCAAAACTTTCCAGAAGACAATTCTTGCCAAACATGTAAACGTGAAATACCATGCCAAAAATTCACAATGCTGACTGCATAGTGTCCATGAATGCGATCAAGTGGAATGTCAACGCCAATGAACTCAAACTTCAAACGATTTCTAACTGTATCAACCACACATCCAAGCTTCTCCAACATGGTGTTGCTTGCCAAGAAAGGAATCTGAGCATCTTTTAAAACACTGACTCCCAACAACAGCCCATTTGACTGCTGACCTGGCAAAGCTGCTGGCAGATATGCTCGCTTGGACGCTCGATGGATGCCACCTGAGCCGAACTGAAAATCATCCGTGACATCCAACATGTAAGGCTTGAGGCCATACTGGGAGAGGATCTTGGCATGAACATCCAACCATCTTGAACTACAACAGGATCTTTGGCATGCTGTGTCTATGATCATGTACCCCGCAAAGTCAATAACTTCCGTGATGTAGAGGTTGAAGGGATCTTGCTCTACCATATGGGCAGTGGTAAAAGTGAAAAACGTGGAAGGATTTCCCAATGGTGAAGGGGTAGACAATGATGAACTTGAACCCAAAGATGAACTTGTCCCCAAAACTGGATTGCTAACTGATGGATCTTGAAGATGTGGTTCATCACATAGCTCCCCAGGGAAGGCCACCATGAACGCCTTTTTGACAGGTTTGCCTTTGCCGCCATCCTTGCCATGCTTTCCAGCTCCTTTGGAGTTGGGCTTGTCCTTGCTGGAGGCCGTGCAAACGCTGTCGCCAGCCCAATGGCCCATCTGGCCGCATGTAGAGCAAGTACTGGTCCGCTTTCTCTCTTCGATCGACCTGGGTCTTCCAGTGAACTTGCGACCCAAAACGGTCGATTGCAGCTTCTTTGATGTCACCGTCAGGACATTGGCTAAGTCCTGAAGCTCCGATGGATCATCTTGATCCTCAGCACCATCGGCCGGATCATCGGCCTGGTCATAGTTCTCGTCATTGACGCATTCTTCGGCAGCATCTTGAAACTCTTGCTCAGAGCCATCTTCAACCTGATCGCCAGTTTCCTCAGGAATCTGTTCCATTTCGTCCACCTGATCAGTCTGATACACCCGTTTTGGATGCTGTCCTTTGGATCCAGACCGATATGAAGACGACGATGATGCGGTGCTTGAAGAGCTCTGAGAAAATGTCGAAGGAGTAGAGGATGAAGTGCTTTGGAACCCTTTTCCCTTGGATTTGCCAGTGACTTGACCAGAACCTGTAACTGGAGGACTTGGACGATGGTCAGGAAACTGAAAGTTCAACGATTCTCGAACGCAGTCAAACTTCAAACTGTTGCCGGCCCCTATCAAAACAAGCCTTTGGAGATCCAAAGGAAGTCTCGACCGCTCCAACAGTCGGTTTCCCCGAGCTTCATCATCGTACATTCCAGTTGTGCTGATTCCCAAGGCTGACAAATCCTTTTCCACACGCACATATCTGTTCGCAAATTGCCGAACTGATTCGTTGGGGTACCTGGAAATGTTCTCATAGTCCGACAAAAGCTTCCGTTTTTGGAAGAGGACCTTTTGTTGCAGAGGTTCACGAAGCGTCTCAACCAGGTACTTGATGCCGTCGTTGGAATGCACCTTTTCCAGATCGATATGCTCTGTCTCCAGTTCAGCCTCCCCTGACAAGGAGGTAAACAAAGAAAGTGCGGCATCAGCTGCTGGCATGAACGCTTTCATCTGCAAAGCCCAAACTTCCACCTTGCGCTCCCATCTCGCGAAAGCACGAAGGTCAGCTGAATTCTTCCAAAGAGGTGGACTTGGAGGTGTTCCACCGCGCCAGCGCACACCACGTGCGGGCCCACGCTGAGATGTCCACGAACCTTGGCTATTGTCTGTTCTCATCTGATTTGCAACCAGCTGTGACAAAAGGTCCACAATGCGAGATTGATTCGCACTCGAAAGACCCAAATCATCTTGTCCAGTTGCACGCATCTCATGGGCTTCCGGTTGATTATCGACGCGACCACGTCTCCGGCGTCTTCTTCGAGATGATGAGCTCATCATGTCAGGATCTATCACAGGATCGGTTGTATGGCTTTCGCTGTCATGCCATTCCGCCCCAGAAATCCCGCCGTCAGAAGGTGGAGACTGCGGTGTCGCCCATTGTTGCTGTTGCTGCTCTGAACCCGTCCTCGGCACATAAACCCAGCATCCCTCAGCAGTCTCATGTCGTCTAGGTTGCGTGGAGTCATAGAAATCCGCGCTGTGACAACCCATGCATGTCCACTTCTGAGAGGAGGTGTTCCAAGTAAACAGATTCGAGCCACACTGATAGCATCGCCACTTCAACGAATCCCTGGATCTGGCATGCGTGCTGCGATCAACTGTCTCATCCACAGGTGGCACTGGTGGCATACGGTTCACAGGAGGTTCGGAGTAACTACTGCTAACTTCATCATCGTCTCCAAATAGATCGAACTCTCGATGGAACCTTTCCCAGGTGTCACTTTCAGGAGGATCATAGTTGGGCAGATGGTATTCACGCATGTCGACACGAGGCTCCGGTGCCAACTCACTGTAGTATGTGCAAAGATACCCAGTGTTGCAAATGCAATTGAATCAAATGAAACATGCCATGGCTGCAATCAAAAGGCGCCCCTTTTTGCTGATATCTCGGCCCAGTGCACTGCGGTGCATACATGCTGATGCTATGAGACCAAGGACATTCGGCTGGAATTTCACAATTAATACATTAATACATTAATACATAATATGATATAATATGTACATCATATATGTAACCCGTTGTTGCCATTTGCCCTGTGCATCTAGACTGGTGTATTGGCTGCCAGTGCGAAGGGAAAACTTGTTGGTGCCCTTGGGCGTCTTTGGCTCAAGGTGAACTACCAACTTTGATCCTGCAACTCAACAGGCCGGCACGCTTCCTCGCGTTGCTAGGGGATTGTCAATTCAGTTCCAATTGTGACCTATTGCTATGGCGCAAAGTGCGATTGTAAGTGCCAAACCTGCAGGTGCACAAGCTGTGAAAGGAGGCAAGTTCAAACCCATTGGACGGTTGCAAATCTCCCCCCGGACATGTCACGGTACCTTTCTTCGTCCCAGGCGTTAACCTTAGATGCCAGGTGCCATGGCTGTCAACCAAGCTCAAGAGTCTCAAGAGGTCTGGGGCCCAAACATCGTCTCGGCAAGTCGCTCAACCTTAGTCGTTTGTTGCATGCTTTGAAATAAGGCAGAAAAGATCAAGCCATTTTGGCACCTCATGAAAATAATCTTCCAAATCCAGTAGACCTCATTCTTGGGGTTGCAACACCCCCGCTGCACAAATTGCGGGCAGTTTTTTCTGGTTTCTCTGAATTTAATGACCTGAAGCAAATCAAAATCAGCTAGCTGATTTGGGGCCCGTCACTTTCAAACACGGCGATTGGCTGAACCGCTGAGGAGTACACCAGCTGCGCCTCGGTACAACCTTAGGGAATATGGATACGATAGCTCCTTAGCTCCCCACCAAACAGGAAATATCATGAATCCCTCAGTGGGCTCAGCTTCAAACCCTGCGAGACAGGCAATTTGTGAGACCGGCACTCACCGCGAAGCAGGTCCAAAGGCCAGTCGGTGGTCTTGGCACCTTTCGGATGCAAATGGCGAATGGCCCAAGACCATCGCGCCCAAGCGTTGTTCCCAAAAGAGCTGGCAGATGGTCATTCCCTGTCATTCCCCCACAGATGGTCCCATAGGTATTGAATGGTATTGACCACTCACCGATGTTCATCACCTGTGAGTTCCATGCTGCCTGGAGGTGGCTCTTCCGGCATCTGGCAAGGATTGTGGTCCTGGAGCCGCTCAATATTCTGTGGTGGCTAAGCCATGATTTGGGTCCCAAACGGTTCTAAATATTATAACCCAACTTTCCTGCACTTTCCCTTCTGTTCTGGACAGGCGGGACTTCAGAAACAAGCCGTCAAACTGAAACAGCAAACAGCTGCGGGTGAGAGTCGACAGTTCCGAATGGATCCAATGTTGCCCTAATCTTGCAGTGGGCATACCGGCATGAAAAAGAAAAATAAGCTTCGCTGGTATCCCCAACAGCCGCAGCGTTATATTTTTACCACTATTTCTCAAGCATGCTGCGAAGCCAAGCGCTGGAAACACCTCAGCGTGCTCCAAAGCCTCCCAGACCTGCTCCGGAACCTTCTCCGGAACCCTGTTGAACCTGAGCTGGCTCTGCACCAAAGCCTCCCGGAACCTTCTCCGGAACCTTCTCCGGAACCTTCTCCAGAACCCTGTTGGCACCAAAGCCTCCCAGACCTTCTCCGGAACCTTCTCTGGACCAAAGCCTCCCAGGCCTTGTCCGGAACCTTCTACGGAACCCGTTGAACCTGACTTGGCTTTGCACCAAGGCTTCCTGGAACCTTCTCCGGAACCCTGTTGAACCTGACCTGGCTCTGACCCTCTCCGGAACCTTCTCAAGAACCCTGTTGAACCTGACCTGGCTCTGCACCAAAGCCTCCCAGACCTTCTCCGGAACCTTCGGAACCTTCGCGGGAACCTCGTTGAACCTGACCCGGTGCCTGCACCCGTGCAAAACGGAGCTATTCTGCGTTGAAGAGCCCATTAGCTTACGCTGTTGGGAAAAAACTCACCAATATCTGAACGACGCCATATGGAGCTTACATGAGCTTCCCAGGACTCCCTTAGCATCCAAGCACCCACAATCCTCCACTGACTCTTCGTCCGTCCGTTGCTCTGGTAGCGCCCTCAGCATGGGGGGGAAGTCAGTCATACAGCATGGGAATTATGTGCAATGTGTATTTGGCCTTATCCCCCGTAAATGGAGAACGCAGCGGTGCAAATGCAAACCTGAGCTTGACAAATCTATATAAATATAAATGAAATTTCTCTCTCTTTGCTTGATCCAAAGAGCGTCAAAGTGTCATAAATTTCACATGTCAGAACTTCAAAAAATCACCCCTGTTTCCCATACATGCAACCGTGCTTCAAGCTGCCCAGTGATGACGATCGAGTGGGCCGAGTCGATGCTTCACTGGTGCCGACCTTCTCAGGCGACTGTCCGGGCTGTGCCAACTGCGCCTTGAAAGGCTTCACCTCAGCTGAGGATTGGAAGAATCATCACAGATTGAATGGGGCACTACCACTTGTTTTTTATGCTTTATGAGGATGACAAACCAATGTTAACCCCCAGCTGTAGTAGTTTATATTCGCAGTCGCACTTTGGGATAGATATATGGGTATGTGAAAGTGAATCTAGCAGACTGGTCCGCTGTTGTGGTGCTGAATCACGAGCAGAACCAGAGATTCTGAGACTTGGGTTTCGAGGATGCTATTCAGCAGCTCCCGAAATGTAGAAAACTGGTGATTTCCCTCCTGAGTGCCAGTCCAAAGTCACTTCAGATTTGTCACCTCCGATATCCTCAATGCTCAAAGTGGAAAGAGCCAGCAACGGTCGCATGCAAAAATTGTACTTGCATAAATAGATGTATAAAATTGTATAAATGTATATTGCATGAGATAGAATAGATACAGAAGATAGATCAATAGATAGATAGATAGATAGATAGATAAACAGATAGAGAAATAGAGAGATAGAAAGATAGAGATAGACAGATAGGCAGATAGAGAGATAGACAGATAGACAGATAGACAGATAGAGAGATAGACAGATAGACAGATAGACAGATAGACAGATAGGCAGACAGACAGATAGACAGATAGAGAGACAGGCAGGCAGGCAGGCAGACAGACAGATAAGATAGGTAGGTAGGTAGATAGCTAGCTAGCTAGCTAGCTAGATAGATAGATAGATAGGTAGGTAGATTAGTGGATTAGATAGCTAGGTAGATGGTAGGCAGATAGGTAGATAAATAGGTAAATAATTAGATACATCCATGAATATATAATATTATTTCAATAGATACATATGTATACCGTATACCTATAATAGAGAGGGAGAGAGAGATAGAGACATGTAACAGGCATTACGTACATACACAGTAAATATACACAGCTAGTTAGATAGATATGTAAATAAACAAATAGATGCGTCCTGGATGGATCGATGCCAATCCCGATACTGGGACCACGACAGGATCAGCGCCAAATGCCAGGAGCAACTTCTCCATCACCGGGTCGGACTTTCGAGCCAAGCGCCATGGGGTTGCCTCACGGGGCAAATGAATAGTTGCCAACATGGCAGGTCCGGATACTATGATGTACCTTGGAGATGTTGGAGTTCTATAGGTTTAACGGTTTAACCATATTTGTCCATTGATCTAACTCAATCTAAATCTGATTTATTTATCTAAAATCTCAATCAATCTAGTGTCAAATGGAAATCCATTCCAATCTTCTCTAATGCCAGTCCTGAGGCCCCGCACTCCACTGCGGTTGCAATCATTGACATTTGCCCGAGCGACCAGGAGCGTGTTGGCCTTAGAGCGGTGTCTGAAAATGTGGTATTTGCCTCAAACCCAAACATAGTTATTTCCCTATCAAAATGGCAATTAATATTGCGCTAAGGGATCCAAAAAAAACAAATAAGGATCAAAAACAACAAAATCGAGGGATCAAAAAAAAAACAAATAAGGATCAAAAAAAACAAATAAGGACGATCGTAGGGAAAATCGTCAAGAAACTGCCGAAAGGGAGGATCAAAAAAAAAACAAATGGGAATACATATGAATAAAAACGAAAGAGAGTAGATAGCAAGGGAAGTCGATTAAAAAATAAAAGCGGGTGCGGGGGTGCAGGGGGGAGGGCGCAGCGCCTCCCCCCGCAATGCGTACCAAGAAAGAAGCACACAGGCTCAAGTCTCGATGGATATAAATAAAGACTAAGAAAGAGAAGATGAACCCAAAGAAACGATGCCTATGAAAAAAATGAAAGAGAGTAGGTAGCAAGGGAAGTCAATTAAGAAATAAAAGCGGGTGGGGGGGTGCAGGGGGGAGGGCGCAGCGCCTCCCCCCGCAATGCCTCCCCCCGCAAAGCGTCACATGGTCATGATACATTTCGCAATGTAGATGGGCCTTATCATCCACCTTTGTTGCGCTGTCACAGCATACAGCGGATTACAGCGGCAGCAGTAGTACCGTAACACTAAACGTAGCAGTTGGTGGGCCATACCATCCACCTTTTTGTGGCAACAAAGGCTTGGCCAGAGCTAGTTTGCGCGCTTTGCCGGGCCTCTGGCCGGCACATACATTTCCAGGAACAGGTCACGTAGTGCTTGCATGTTGTCTGGTCGAGTGTTCGTCCACGATGTGTCATAATACTTGTAAGTGTGTTTCTCCGATCTTGCAAAAAACAAATAAGTTCAAATAAGGATCAAAAAACAAATAAGGATCAAAAAACAAATAAGGATCAAAACAAAAACGAAATCGAGGGAAGGAAGGAAGGAAGGAAGGAAGGAAGAAAGTAGTTGTAGTACTAGTACTAGTACTAGTACTAGTACTAGTACTAGTACTAGTACTAGTACTAGTAGTAGTAGTAGTAGTAGTAGTACTAGTAGTAGTAGTACTAGTAGTAGCAGTAGTAGTAGTACTAGAAGTAGTAGTACTAGTAGTAGTAGTACTAGTAGTAGCAGTAGTAGTAGTAGCAGCAAGAATGAAAACATTGATTATATAAAAAATAAACCCAAATAAACGATGCTTGCGAAGAAAAAGAAATAAAGTAGGTAGCAAGGGAAGCTGATTAAAAAATAAAAGCGGGTGGGGGGGTGCAGGGGGGAGGGCGCAGCGCCTCCCCCGCAATGCGTACCAAGAAAGAAGCACACAGGCTCAAGTCTCGATGGATATAAATAAAGATTAAGAAAGAGAAGATGAACCCAAAGAAACGATACATATGAAAAAAAACGAAAGAGAGTAGGTAGCAAGGGAAGTCGATTAAAAAATAAAAGCGGGTGGAGGGGTGCAGGGGGGAGGGCGCAGCGCCTCCCCCCGCAATGCGTACCAAGAAAGAAGCACACAGGCTCAAGTCTCGATGGATATAAATAAAGATTAAGAAAGAGAAGATGAACCCAAAGAAACGATGCCTATGAAAAAAATGAAAGAGAGTAGGTAGCAAGGGAAGTCAATTAAGAAATAAAAGCGGGTGGGGGGGTGCAGGGGGGAGGGCGCAGCGCCTCCCCCCGCAATGCGTACCAAGAAAGAAGTACATAGGCGCAAATCTCGATGGATATCAATCAAGATAAAATGAACCCAAATAACCGGTGATGCTTATGAAAAACAAAAAGAATAGTAGGTAGCAAGGGGAACCGATTTAAAAAAAAAGCGGGTGGGGGTGCAGGGGGGAGGGCGCAGCGCCTCCCCCCGCAATGCGTACCAAGAAAGAAGTACATAGGCACAAGTCGCGATGGATATCAATCAAGATTAAATGAATCCAAATAAACAACGATGATGCTTGTGAAAAAAAAGAATAGTAGGTAGCAAGGGGAGCCGGCTAAAAAATAAAAGCGGGTGGGGGGGTCAAGAGAAGGAAGCTTTCCTTTCATTTTTCAAGAGAAGGTTACTTCTTTCTTTCTTTCTTTCGTTCTTCTTCCTTCATTAAGGAAGGCAGGGGGGGGGACAGCGAAGGAGGGGGAGGGAAGGAAGGAAGGAAGGGGAAGGAAGGAAGGGGAAGGAAGGAGGGAAGGAAGGAGGGAAGGAAGGAGGGAAGGAAGGAGGGAAGGAAGGAGGGAAGGAAGGAAGGAAGGAAGGAAGGAGAAGGAAGGAGAAGGAAGGAGAAGGAAGGAGAAGGAAGGAGAAGGAAGGAGAAGGAAGGAAAAGGAAGGAGAAGGAAGGAAAAGGAAGGAAAAGGAAGGAAAAGGAAGGAAAAGGAAGGAAAAGGAAGGAAAAGGAAGGAAAAGGAAGGAAAAGGAAGGAAGGAAAAGGAAGGAAGGAAGGAAGGAAGGGAGGGAGGGAGGGAAGGGAGGAAGGAAGGAAGGAAGGAAGGAAGGAAAAGGAAGGAAGGAAAAGGAAGGAAGGAAAAGGAAGGAAGGAAAAGGAAGGAAGGAAAAGGAAGGAAGGAAAAGGAAGGAAGGAAGTAATGAGAATTAAGTACTTGTCAGGCAGGAAGGAAGGACCGGAAGGCAGGAAGGAAGGAAGGCCGCTCCTTACGTACAGTAATTACTTGCTGCCTTCAGGTCTTAATTCCTGACTTAATTCAGTCCTTCTTCCTTCCTTCATTCCTTCTTCCTTCCTTCATTCCTTACTTCTTCCTCCCTCTCCCGATGTATGTATGTATTGTATTGTCTGTATGTCTGTATGTATGTAGTCTGTTATGTCTTTGTATGTATGGCTATGGTAATGGAAATTTGTAATTGAAATGTAAGAAATGATAATGTAATGTAATGTTATGGTAGGTATTGTACCAATGTAGTATCTAGGTATGAATCGAGGATCTATGTATCTATGTATCGAGGCTATGTATGATGTATGTATTGTTGTATGTCTGTAATTTGGTATGTAGTATGTTATGCATATGCATGTATCTATGTATCTATGTATGTATGTATGTATGTATGTATGTATGTATCTATGTATCTATGTATCTATGTATCTATGTATCTATGTATCTATGTATGTATCTATGTATTTATCTATGTATTTATCTATGTATGTATCTATGTATGTATCTATGTATGTATCTATGTATGTATCTATGTATGTATCTATGTATGTATGTATGTATGTATGTATGTATGTATGTATTTATGTATATGTA